ATACAGTAGTTGTTTATTTCCTTGACATGGGAGGGTGTTTCATTGATGGGAGGGCATTCCACAGGGCGGGTGCATATACTAGGGTATGGTGTACATTTAAATTTAATAAATAAAAAGGAAAAGAAATTATTTATTTGATAACTAAAAGGAAAGGAAAGTGTGAATGTAATATTGAAAAAAGAAGCCAAGAACTTATAAATCCCAGTAAAGACTGGAGGTATGATCTGTCAAGCCAAAACTAAGCATTTTGAACAATTACTCCATGGAAATAATAAAACTCACTGGGTGGTATTCGACTAAGCTTTACTCAGAGCAGACCCAATGAAATTAATTGGGTTAATTTAGCTGCTGTCGTCTAAACTACTGAGCCTCTGGGGCTTGCTGATCAGAAGGTTGGGAGTTCGAATCTACTCGATGGAGGTGAGCTCCCATTGCTCTGTTCCAGCTTCTGCCAACCTAGCAGTTTGAAAGCATATCAGTGCAAAAGGATTAATAGGTACTGCTGTGGCAGGAAGGTAAGCGGTATTTCTGTGCCCTCTGGCTTCCGTCACAGTGTCCCATTGCGGCAGAAGCAGTTTAGTCATGCTGGCCACATGACCCGGAAAGCTGTCTGTGGACAAATGCCGGCTCCCTTGGCCTGAAGCGAGGTGAGCATCGCACTCCATAGTCGTCTTTGACTGGACTTAACTGTCCAGGGGTCCTTTAACTTTACCTTTTACCTATTCATTAATGAATCTAATTTGAGTAAAACTGAGTTGAATGCTACCCATTGTTCATTTAGTTATTTGTTAGGGAAGGAATTCAACATCACAGTTAAACAAATGTTCTGCCAACAGAAGCATTTCCTCTTGCCCAATGGAACAACCTCTCCTGTCCTTCCTTCATGTGCTGCTCTTGGGGTCCTACCAATGCCCCCACCCCTACAGATCTGAGGGGGGAGGGTCCCAGGGCGGGGTGCAGCAATAAAATATACAAATATATTAACCATTACATTGAAATCAATGTAAAAGTTTTTCATTTGAGGGGGTAGCTTGTACCCAGAGCACAAAGAATTTGGCACAGGTATTGCTGTTGCTGCTCCCAGTGAAAATCACCCCCACTTCCCAGCTGTTATTTTGTTACTTGGATGGAAAACGTCCATTGGGACAGTGTTATACGAAATACCATCTAGCCTAGTGAAAAGAAGACAGACCCCCTCCCAATAAATGTGAACCATAGCTAGGCTAGCATTTCCTTCTGGCAGTGTGGGACACACATAGTACTGGGCCTTAGCTTATACCTCTGTGGCCCAATCCCCTAGCTGCATATGGGGCGAATGGTGGTGCATTTATGCTTCTGAGTGGGCAGGTAGCATGGCATGGTCAAGATGCCACCCCATTCTAGTGGTGGTGTAGTAGACATCATTCAAATAGTACATAGACTTATTTCTGCAGTTGTATTTAGTGTGCTTCGTCCACTTCTCTTGATATAACCTGGTGACTAAAGCTCTCCTTTTACAATGGCAAACTTACGGCATTGTTCTCTTTCTGTCTAGCTTTTAACTTGGAATTCTTTTTAACTTGGAATATGAATTATCTGGCCAGTAAAATGTATTCTGTGCTGAATTCCATTTCATCGTTGAGGATTTTGCTCATCTCATCCTAGCCTTCTCAAGGAAACAAGAAGTGTGACAGGAAGGTGTGATCTTTTTAATTTACACCAGAGTTCTCAGCAAATAATGATTTTTCACACCCTGTTATTGCTCCTTAGACTGGGGGGGGGGGGGAGCTCCATGGCTACTAAATGAAGCCAACTGCTATAATTCTTGAAATAATTTTAAATGTATTATGCTATAGGAGAGCTAGAAAAAATGCCAGAGGGCAAAATGCAGAGAAAATAAGCTTTATACTAGATAAGAATTTGGGGATAGGAACCAGCTCAGTTATCCTTTCTATTTAGAATGCGAAATGTTTTTGCAACTTTGTGTTGAATTATTTCTTCTTCTCTTTAAAGGATATAAGAAGTAATCAGATTAGAAAAGGCTGCCGTACCCTCTTCACAACAGGATGCCTACACTCTGTTTTATTTTGATGCACCAAGCTCATCTATAGCCGCAGGTTTGGATGTAATGTTAACCATAATGTTGCACTACATGAGTGATCCTGGGGTGGGCCTCAAACTTGTGAGCTTTAGCATCCCTGTGATGTGAAGATTGGAAGCATCCACTTCCTGGTTTAAAATAAGCAGAGTTTTGGGTTGGTGGAAGAGGAGTTTAAGAAAGAAAAGAAAATGTAAGCCTTGGAATTCATTTATGAATATAGTGGTACTTTGGGTTACATACGCTTCAGGTTACATACACTTCAGGTTACAGACTCCGCTAACCCAGAAATAGTACCTCGGGTTAAGAACTTTGCTTCAGGATGAGAACAGAAATTGTGATCTGGCGGCGGGGCAGCAGCAGGAGGCCCCATTAGCTAAAGTGGTGCTTCAGGTTAAGAACAGTTTCAGGTTAAGAACGGACCTCTGGAATGAATTAAGTATGTAACCAGAGGTACCACTGTAGTATTATTATAACAGCATATTGCTATGAATAGATATTAGTTAAAATTAAACCCATGATGATTGTAAAGGTGGATTCAGGGCCAGCTGAAGACACTTTGAACGAGAAAATGGTGTGCCCCTTGAGAAACTTGGGAATTGTAGTTTGTTAAAGGTGCTGGGTTAGAGCATGGATAGGGAATATCAAGGTCAGGGTCAAAATGCAGTTCTTCAGGCCTCTCTGTCAGGGCTCAGGCCACCCCATCTCCAGTCCTGCTTTGCACCGTCCTTGAGTGTTTTTGACTGACTGTAACATGTCTTTGGATGGAGAGGAGACAGTTGTGGTGGAAGAATACTAATCTCACCTCCCTGTCCTGCCCCCCTCATCCCAAATGCCTCCTCTCTCCATTCCATATTAGACTGACCTCTCTCACCTCTGCACCAAGGCCTACTTAGCTGGAGACTGAAGCTACTCTCTTGCAAAGCCGGGAGTCTGCCCATTAGGAGGCAGCTGCGTATGCAGCCTGGTACTTGAACAGGGCTCTGTGGGGTTGTGGTTTGATAGAGGTGCAAAAGGAAGGGACAGGAAGACGTCAGGGAATGGGAAGGCAAAATGCTGTGGTAAAAGCAAGGGGGTTGAAATGGAGAAGGAAAACAGTGGTGCAGGGAGGAGTGGGAAAGCAGCGGGGAAACCCAAGAATGCTTTTCCTCTCCATCACCGCCTCTCCATTTTTCTTCTCCATTTTGTTCCCTTGCTGGAGTGCTTAGAGGAGAACAACCAGGAACTTAGAAAGCTCCTTAGTACCATATTGTACTAAGTTAGAGCTCAGTATTGTCTACTCCAGGAAGAGGGGATCTTTTTTAGCCCAAGAGCTGCAATTCCTCACAAACAAACTTCCAGCACTGGTGGTTGGCAGGGCTAGAAGCAAACATGGGTGTGGCAATGGATGTGACTCTTACCTTTGTACTGTGGTCTACCTTCTAGCCATGCAAAATCCAGGTGTTTTACATAGCCTGGGATAGTCCTGAGAGCCAGAGAGATAAGCCTGGAGGTGCTTTTGACCCTGTGCCTGATGTTCTCCAGCTGGCAGTGGCTCTCCATCTTTCACACAGGAGTCTTTCCTAACCAGGGATTGAACCTGGGGCCTTCTGCTATACCACTGAGCCATGGCCCTTTTCTTACGGTGATGAAAATCATATGAAATGGCTGAAAGCATATGGCTAGCCCAGCAAAGAGAAAATCAATGGGAGACATGAATGCTGCCTCCAAATATCTAATGGGCTGCTGCAGAAAAGATGGAACAGGGATTGGCCGAGATGAATTCCACAATTCTCTTCTGAATCCATGGTTCTGAGATAATTGTATTTGACAGATAAGTATGAATCATGGAATTACTACTGCTTGATTCAAGGATTTTAAATCTGTGCTAAACACAGAACTTTCAAAAACCTGTCTCATGAAAGGAAGTGGGCATTTCCATTCAGAGAGACCTCAGGAAACTGGAAGGGAAGAAGGAAGAGAACCCCGTAAGGTCAGGTTAGTTCACCCTCCCCACAAAAGCACTGAAATGTGGATCCCTGTGTGACCTCAAGGCAGGGGTGCCAACTTGAATAAAATATTTAGGGGGGCAGGTAAGCCCTGCCCTGCATCATCAATCACAAGACACAGCACACACAGACACACACACACCATTTGAATGGCAAGGCCCATCAATATTGGGGGGGGCAGCATCCTCAAGTATTTTATCGGGATGCAAAGGGACCTTGGCCCCTAGGAGTTGGCTCCTATGCCTCAAGGACAGAGAATGTCACGATAGAGCCAGCGTGGTGTAGTGGTTAAGAGTGGTGGACTCGTAATCTGGGGAACCGGGTTCGTGTCTCCGCTCCTCCACATGCAGCTGCTGGGTGACCTTGGGCTAGTCACACTTCTTTGAAGTCTCTCAGCCTCACTCACCTCACAGAGTGTTTGTTGTGGGGGAGGAAGGGAAAGGAGAATGTTAGCCGCTTTGAGACTCCTTAGGGTAGTGATAAAGCTGGATATCAAATCCAAACTCCTCCTCCTCCTGCTGCTGCTGCTCCTCCTCCTCCTCCTCTTCTTCTTCTTCTTCTTCTTCTCAGTCGGACCAAACCCTTTGAAAATCTACCTGCAAACACATCAGTTTTTTGCATTTCCTAGAAATAGCTTGAATTATAAGGTGTTAGTGAAGGTGACTTCACAAAACTGGCTTGCGATTCTGTGCATTTTCTACCTTTGTTCATATTGCTCCCATTGGTGTACGTGTTCACTTGACTAGTTTCTCAATGGAGCAGTGTGGGTTAATGCATTCAGTTTGCTCTAAATGTGTATGCGAGAGGCTAATATGTAGTTTTCTCCCCCATCCCAGCTTTCTGTAAAAAAAGTCAGCCATTTCCTGATGAGCATAGTGGTGGTGAATTTCACACCTTTCTCATATCTGTGTGGAAACTTGGGTGTTAATGGTGTGGGATGAGGGTGTGTTCAGTATTATAAAGAATGAAGCTGCTTGTTCGGAACAGAGGAAAGCAAGACTAGGATTCTAATACCAGGTGAAACAGGAATCATAAAACTGCCTCCTTACACCAGGCATGAATATATAGTGTGCAAAATATGGGAACAAATTATTATCAGCCTGGAACTATGTGTACCTATTTTGCAAAATAGCAGGTTTTGGGGGTAGGGGAGAACTGAACATTGACTCAAAGATTTAAAATAGAATCATCTTCTTGTTCTTGTTTTTCCAAACTCTATACAGTAGTGGAATTTCCCATCACAACAAATGGAGATGGAAAGTTGGTCAGTTGATCAAGTCTGCAACTGGTTGCTACTGAAAAACTTAGGAGACCTGGTTCCTAAATTTCGTGGTAAGACTGTTCTCTGTGTATCACTGTATGTGTCAAATATCTGTGTAATTTATAGAGATTTATTAAATCAAATGAGGTTTCCATTGATGTTTCTAAGTATTTGTTGCAGGGAGTGGGGGAGAAATACAGAATAAATTGTTGGATACTAAATCCTTAAAAGCTTTATGTGCATTCTGGTAGCACGCTTCTACGTGAAATTAATTATTTTGATAGTGTTTGCTTCCTAGTTACATAATAATATAGCAATGCAGTTTTTAAGTTTTTAACCAGGGAAAAGCTTTCATTAATTTCCAGATCAGGATTGTGAGGTAAGCACAGGACTAAATATGCACCAGGACTCAGCACTAAAATAAACATGCTTATCCTCAGAACATTTTGAAGCAATCAAAACAGCACAGTGGATGTGGAGAGTGCCTTTTAACCCCCATTAGGCAACCACAACCTATTGGCTATGGCTGAAGGTAGGGAGAAAAGTTCTTAGGATAGAAGACTTCAGCCGGACTCCTGCCTCAGTGCCTCCCTCTGTAGCAATTCAGCACCCAGCACAAAGCTAAACCCACAAAGCTAATATTGTGCCTAAGAACATCTGTACTCGAACTCAATCAATATAGATTGATTGCTTGTTACAGTTTATATAGAACTTTTCCTTCCAATGTGCAAAAAAAGAAAGACTGTTATTCTTTTGGTATGACCAATTGCCTTTGAAACATCTGCCTGCTTGCAGCCAGAGGCAATCCATGTGTAATGATTCTTTGGCTCTTCTTTTAGAGGAAGAAGTGGGTGGCGCTGCTCTGTTGGCTCTTAACGACAGGATGGTCCAGCAGCTGGTCAAGAAAATTGGGCACCAGGCAGTGTTAATGGATCTGATTAAAAAATGCAAGCAGCAGACAGAAGGACCAGTTTTTACCTGCAAAGAGCCCTTCTCTGAGTCACCAGGAGAATTCAGTGGGTAAGGCTCTGCAAAGAAAAATAAAGGAAGAAACAAAAGCATCCCACTTATATTCCAGTCAGAGTGGTTTTCTGTTTTAATGCTAATGCTCATTAATTTTTACAGTCACTGAATTTTGCTACTACAGTAATGTGAATTTGGAAGCTCAGCAGAATATGGCAACGAATGTTTATTGCTTGTTACCCCTGAATATGGAAAAATAACAGTCTGTCCTGTTTTTCTAAGGCACTGTTGTAATATTCAGCTTGAACTAGTTTTGTGCCTCGTTTCTAAAAAGAAAGGTGCTTGGGCTTTCAAGCCTGCTTGAAAATTGCACCCAGAGGCAGAACGAGCAAATCTTTCCACTTGTAAAGGTTCATCCTTAATCTATAGTTCAGCTTTTATCTATAGATCAGGAGTAATAATGTTACACTTCCCCATTTTGCTCTGGCAGTGAGAACTGCCAGGGGCACAGTGTGTAACCAAGTTTTATTTTCTTTCCAACAAGGTAAACCAAGGATTATTGGCATTTTGTCATAGTTGCATTTTATTTACAAATAAACAGGTTAAACAGAGGTGGTGGCACAGCTTAAACACTCCAAATGACAGCCCCACATCAGATCTTCAGAGAGATAACCACCCCCGTAAAATGGTGCTAGTTTATGGAGTCCAAAATCTCAGTATTACTGTGCCTTTTGGACTCTGGCCCAAGCTAAAACCCTTATTATTATTTTTCACATACAAACACCTTGCCCCTCCCCCCTCATGGTGGGAGAATCCAAATGAGTCACCTCTTCTGACCATTGCCCAGTATTTTTTGCTTCTATGGAGGCATGACCCCAGAACCTCATGGTCTACCAGTGCTCCTTGCAATGTCACCCATGCTTTAGAGAATATAAAGGGGGCGCTTGAAAGGAGATTCAAGATCAGATACGAACTCAGGAGCACCCAAAATGATAACCCTAGTCACAAAAATCAGATCAGAAAGCTACAACAATATATTTGCTAAAGGTGGAGAACTACAAGGCTATAATAGCTTAACTTGTAAGGAAAATGACATTCACCATTTAGTTCTCAAAGGAAGAAAGGGACAAGTCTCCCAGTTCTCTTGAACTACATCCACTAAAGCAGAGTAGCATCCATGAAGCAGTTGACATAAGTTGTGATGACCAACTTATATGTCTGTAGGTTCTCCAAGGGCCAGATATATATTTTTCCCACTGACATATGGGCTGAGTGCACACTACACCTTTAAAGCACATTTCCCCCCTCAAATAATTCTGAGCACTGTAGTTTGCCCCTCACAAAGTTACGATTCCCATCAACCTTTAGCAAACTACAGTGTTCATAATTATTTGAGGGGGAGGGAGGTTCTTTAAAAAGATTGTGTGTACACAGCTATAAACAATATATAAAATCCACTGTGGATCTCTCTTTTTCACAACTTGATCATATTTGTTTATTTTTCTTGCAAGTGAATTAGTAGGCAGGCTTTGTACCAGACTGTGATTAAAATATGGTAGAGTCACAGGGGCCAGACAAAATTGTTTGGGGGACTGGCTGACCCCAGCCTGGCCATCCATACTTCCAAGTTCCACATAGCCCTCATTCAGGCAGGAATATAAAGAGAAGAGTTAAAAGGAGATTTAAGGGATTTAAAAAGTAGACCCTTATACTTGGATCAAGAAGGGAATTGCTATCTGTTGCGGGTCATAATCAACTGGGCAACATGTTTCCTTCCTTACAGAACCCATGGCATTCAGCTAACTGTTGGACAGGCGAATTGTTTCTCTCCTAATGAAAGCCGTGATGATGGATCCATTGATCAAAGAGTTCTCAAACAAAAGTGAGTTTTTGGTTATCCTTCTAATTCCAAAGATATAGCTATCTTCATATAGAACCTCCTAAACTACGAAGATATATTGACAATAACAAAGGATTACAATATCATATGCTTGCATTAGTTTTTTTAAGTCTTACACAAAGATGGTATGATTCTCGGAGCAACAAATTATTTGGATGCAGATAACTACTGTGGGGAGGGGAGGGGAGACAGGGAGAGATAAGGATGGACTGGGGGTTCTAAAGCAAAATAAACTAAAGCACGTTTTTTAAAAAATAATGTAAAGAAAAATATAATTTGGATCATATCATAATTTGTAATGCATTAAAAATATAATAGATTATGTGGAAATAACACTAGGGGTAGCCCATGTTCCTGGAGTGTAAAGCATAGTAAATATATTATAATAAGAGGATGGCTTGTCTTTCACTAATAATAAATCAATTGAAGGAGCTAGCACAATGAAGTATGTGATAATTTAAAGTGCTAATGAATGGTCATTTTTGCTTCCTTTGTCAGGAAAAACATGAGGCATGTTTTAGCAAGATGCAAAGCATTGCAATGGACAAATTCATATATTCTGCCTGAGTTCCCTTATGATGTCAAATGCATATTAGCAGAAAGAAAATGCCCTGATCACAGTGTGAGAATAAGGATAATTGAATTCTTGCAAGCTGACATGACAAAGTATCTTGAAGGATCACTGTAAGTAAGGCAGTCTTCAGCATTCTGCCTCATGGGAGCAATATGGCATGGGGTGAATTTCCATAAGGATGATAAATTGATCTCTGCATGCTGTGAACTTTGATTTGGAGAGTGCGTAGGTAGAAAGGCAGAATGAATATATTTGTGGCTGCCCATAACTTGTATGAGTGTTGGGAGGCCTGGAGGGTAGCCAGAGCCCAGTTACTTCTACTCTCTTGCTACCTAGTCACTTAATAAACCCTGCAGACAGTGGTCCATGGTCTTGTTTGGACCAATGAACTGTCTTCCGAGCAGTCATCTCTCAGTGCTTGTCACCAAACCACAGGGAGCTTGGTAAAGAAGCAGGAATGTCTCACTTACGTGCAGGGGTGCAATCTCGCCCTCAGGATTGTGAGTGCCCGCCGCCTCAATGCAGACGTGCAACATCTCACACACAGATGTAGGAGCCCAACCACAGATATCCACTGCACAAGTGCTTCCACTGTGCTAAAAAAGAAATCAAATCTCCTTCCATGTTAGGCACCCTCGGCACAGGGTTTTGCAGCCTGATATGGTGGCAACAGTGATAGGAATGACTGGGCCAGTGTGTGAGTAGAGATTGCCAAGAGTGTACTTTTTATTTTGTATGATAGAGGCAGGCATTAATGTAAAAGGAGCTGAAGATTTTCCAGTTGAAGCAGCAGGGCACTTTAAATAATAATATTTGTATGCATTTTATATTGCGTGGGCAGATATCCAACCACTCAGCAATATAATGATGTTGTCAATGAATTGCTCCAGGCATACCCTTTTCTTGATGAGGATGGGAATGGCTTTGTAAGTACCCAAACAAATGCAATTCTGTACTGTTGTTTTTCTTGAATTAAACATGCAATTGCTTTTATTTGATTATATACATTTCTATTGGGGTTTAGGCCTGCTTATGTCAGGGAAACAGCCCTGTTTGCCAGGTATGATGACTTCTGCCTGGAGACAGACAGGGGTAATGGGATGCTGTGGATTCTCCTTGATCTCTCTGCAGCTTTCTATACCCTCCACCATTAGTATCCTGCTGGAGCAGCTGTCTGAATTGGGACTGGGCTTTCCAGTGGTTATAGTCTCATTTGAGAGAGTGGTGCTTAGGGCAGTGTTTCCCAACCACTGTTCCGCGGCACACTAGTGTGCCGCGAGATGTTGCCTGGTGTGCCGTGGGGAAAATTCGAAAGATTTTTTTTTTTTTGTAAAAGTCAAATTAGGTCCTAATCTATCCCTCGAGCGCCTCTTGTCCGTTATTGTGACGCATGAAGCGTGTTCCCGCCCACTCCCCGCCCTCCCTTGCTTCTCTCTCTCTCTCTGTGGCGTTCTCCGCCGCTTCCTGCTGGGCATGCGCAGCTCGCCTCGCGCTTCCATTCCGACCCCTCCTTCCCCCGACTACCCCGCCGCTCCGTTCCTTTCTCTTTCTCGCGTGTCAGAGAGCGGCGGCGCGAGCGCGGCGGTTCCCTCAGGGCTGACGGAGGGCTCGAGGAGGAGGAGGCAGGACGTGGAGGCGGAGAAAGCGGCGGCGGCCACCCCCCACCTCCGGCTCGAGGCCCGCGTAGAAAGCTGAGGGGGAGAGATAGAGGTGGGCGGCGGCGGCGGCGACCACGACCAACCGCCACAGTAGTTGTAGCGGTGGCGACGGCGAGCAGGGACTCCCGCTCTCTCTCCATCGTCTCTCTCTCTCTCTCTCTCTCTCTCTCCCGGGCCCGTCCGTTGACTCTCCCGCGCACCTCGGCTACAAGATGAGCATCGAGATCCCGCCGGGTCTGACTGAGCTGCTGCAGGGCTACACGGTGGAGGTGCTGCGGCACCGGCCGCCGGACCTGCTGGCCTTCGCCGCCGAGTACTTCGCCAAGCCGCGCTCTCCTTCCTGCCTCGCTTTGCTGCCTCCTCCCCCCCAGCCCCAAAGCTTGGAGGTTCCCCGGCGCCGACCCGCAGGTTTGACCCCCTTCTCACACCTGTTCGCGCTCCTTGCACGGAATGGGGCGGATGGGGAGGAACGGGGCTCGCCGCTGCCTCCGCTCGCCCTCCCCCCCTCCGCCGGCGGTCCCGCGATTCTTTGGCTTTTTGGCGGTTGGCACAGAAGGAAGGCAAGGGGGAGGGGGGAAAATTGAATCTTACACTTTCGTGCGTCCCTCCCGGCGTGACGCTGCGCGCTGACGTCACGGGGCTGTAATGGTGGTGTGCCTCGAGATTTTTTTTCATGAAACAAGTGTGCCTTTGCCCAAAAAAGGTTGGAAACACTGGCTTAGGGGATGCTGCTGGACCCTGTGGAGCCTTCAATACTTCATTCCACAGAGGTTGATCTTACACTCCATAAGGGCTTTCTGGAGATTTGCCGTGTGTTGTCCTCAGTATGTTAGCAAAGACTTCATAGATGAGTGTTGTGTTCCTTAGGAGAATACAGTGGTGGCCCGCAAGACGAATTTGTACCCTGTACTATCTATCCCCTGGTCGTGGTCAAAAGGTGTGATTTGTATAAGCTTACCAAGGTTCCTGTCTCCACAGAAGAAACCTTTGTGTTGCAAGGCCCCAGGGCCCAAAGTTCCCCTTGGATAATAAACACACAGACACAAATATGTTGAGTTAATGGGATAAATAAGGCCACAACTTTATTGGTTACAGATGTGAGAGGTATTGGGTGAAACCGACTATATCATGACTCCTGCACGCCCGCAGGAAGTCTTTTAAGGGTCAACCACTGATAGGGGTGCCCTATGTTATACATAAATTAAGAGCACCCAAGGTCCCCGGTGGGGTTGTGGCATGGCCCTGACCCATGCCCAGGCTTTGGACAGGATCCACACACAGCCGGATCCCTTTAACAGGATATCCTTAACTTGGAGGGGCAGGCAGGGGCAACAACCTCCCGTCCCATGAACCAGGCTTACTCAATGGCTAACCGCCTAACCTTACAAAGTTGTCACGATTGCTACAAGATAGGCAAAAACCAAATGGCTTGTACCAATTTGCCAAGTGGAAAAGTTCCTACCTGGCCCCAAGAATAAGGCAACCAACATTAGTCCATAGTAAAGCCAAAGTCAAGCAACATATAAAAAGAGGGCGGATGGGCTGGGTGATTCGACAGAGGAGGCAAAAGGAGGCCATCCACCAGCCATGCCACAATTTAAACCACAGCAGCCACACACCCCGGCTAACCAGATTGGTCAGCTGGGGGGCGTGATGCAGCTGAGAGTCCCGATGATGCGGGTGGCTTCACTCCGCCCCCTGCCAGGTCCCAGTGAGGTCCCAGATACCCACCCACAACTCCACAACTCTGGGGAAGGGGAGTGGTCTTACAAGTACAGGCCCCTTTCAGAGTGCCACTTGACATGAGTTGGATGGGTTAAGGGGCCAGAGCTAGCTGGTGGGTTCTGAAATGTCTCTTCACTGATACTGAACAACTGAAGAGGGTTTGTGAGGGTTAAATATAAAGAACAACACTGAGACAGGAGTGTATGATATTTTCAAACTTATGAAATGTTGGTCTTGGCAAGTGGACACCTGTGGCTTTCTGTTTTGACCTTTATCGTACTCTTGCAGGCATTTCCATTCCTTTGAATTCAGTTTTTGGATGCTTATTACTTCATAGGTCCACTGGGCTACGGTGATAATCTCATAGCAACTAGGAAATGTCAATCTGGATAGTATCCTCCATATATTATGAAGGATAAAGCTATCAATGGCTGCAAGCCACAATGGCTATGTGCTGCCATCACAGTCAGAAACCGTTTCCTACTGACTACCAGTTCACAAGAGGGAGGGGAACACTGTTGCTAACATATCTCATTTGTAGGATTCTCATCGGCATCTTTTTGTAAACCACTTTCAGGTTTTGTTTTGCTTTCTTTACAATCAAGCAGTATATAAATGTTATGAAATAAGAAACAAACAAACAAACAAACAAACAAACAAGTCTGGTTGGCCACTGTGTGGTGGTTGAATTAGATGGACCTGTGGCCTGAAACAGCAGGCGCTATTCTTATATTATTATCCCATGACACTAAGATGCTGAGAGCTATATGAGAAACAGTGGGTTATCAATAAGTTGGTTTACACTCTGATTTTCGATTAATATTCTGTTACTCAGCCAGAACACGTAGAACAGTGTTCTTAAACAGAATCTTAATGTACAGTAAGTTCACACACGCCTGTTTGTTTCTCAGTGACTGAAACTTCAAGCGATTACGTGGATGTGTGAAAACAACACCCCTGCGTTTTGACTTACCAACTATGCTGTTTGCTACGCTGTTAAAAGCAGTCAGCCATTGTCTTGCATTTACAATGTTATCATTTGTCAAACTACTTTTAAGCAAAGCTATTGCCTGCTGCCTTTCAAAGGTAGTTACTCTGTTTCCTCAATAGGGATGGGATGCAATTAGCTTCTGCAAAGTATACAGTAGTTGCATTTTCTTTAAAAAAAATCTGCTGGAAATGATATTCTAAAGGTTCTTTTTCTTTTAGCAATTTAGGAACAGTAGATAACTTGCTCTGAAAGAATAGATAAGGCTCCTGGAAGACACTAACAACTTTTTTAAATATGCAGTTTCTATGGAAACGAGCCCTTAAAGACCGTTTCAAGTATGTGCGGAGACCGATAGATGATGATGAACAGGTAGTGAGAAATAAATGCAAGTTTGGACACAGGCGAGGGCAGACCAGAAAATCTTCTCAAACCAGGTGCGAGAAGGTCCAAGGAGTGCAAACAAAAGTAAGTATAGTGGTACCTCGGGTTACATACGCTTCAGGTTACATGCGCTTCAGGTTACAGACTCTGCTAACCCAGAAATAGTGCTTCAGGTTAAGAACTTTGCTTCAGGATGAAAACAGAAATCGTGCTCCGGTGGCGTGGCAGCAGCGGGAGGCTCCATTAGCTAAAGTGGTGCTTCAGGTTAAGAACAGTTTCAGGTTAAGTACGGACCTCCGGAACGAATTAAGTACTTAACCCGAGGTACCACTGTATTCAGATTCTGTGGATGGAATAGCAAGAGGATATGAATATGAGCTTTGCCTGCTCTTTCCAGCTACTCCTCAAAGAGGAAAATAGGAAGGTGTGCAAAAATTGAGCATTCCTCATATGGCTTCTTTCCAACCATTTTGATTCTTGAAGAATATGAGTGCCATATTTCCATTAGGAGTCTAATGCACCAATGCTTAAAAAGTCCCATAGATTTCAGTGAGACTTGCCTGTCAATAATAGCTTAGATCTTAAGGTAATTTGAAAAAAAAATTCCCTGTCTGCCCCTTTCTGCTGCAACGTGAGATGGGGGATAAGGGCTTGAAGGAAGGAGGAGAGGATGGGTAGCATTTCCTCTATGAACTTCCTTAAGCTAACTTCCTTTCCCATATAATCCAAGGCAATATGACTAGGTTCTGACTGCAACTCTGTCAACATTACTAGACCTTGTTAAACCTTGCAGAGAATGGAAAGCATCCATTTTGTATGCAGAGAATTTCCTACCCACCATTTCTGTGCATGCAAATAACCTAAATGTTGGCTGAATATATTGCAGCCGAGCTGGGGGAAGAACTGGAACCTAAGTGTTTGGATTGGAAATCGTGGTGCTTGGGGACAAAAGAGGTGTAGACTTTGCCAAGGCATTCATGCTATGTGCCCACTTAGGCTTGGTATGACTAAAGACTGATTTATATCATTATGGCTATAGCGAAACTGCTAGATGTGAATTTACCTTTGGGTAACATGTCACCCTGAATAAATATTATAATGCTTTTGCTTATCTGTTTTTGCTTCACTTTCTCCACTCGCTTAGGTCTGGGAAAGGGAAGGGAACAGTATCCCCACTCTTCCCCCTGCCCCAACCATTATGCTAGTTCTGATTATCAGCTATGCCTGGTAATTGCCAGTTTTAGTGTCCTATAAATTACTGGTGAGATTATACTTAGTAACACAATAATTATTTTACCATCTTAGAATTAAGAACTCTTCTAGAAGATCAGCATTTGAATTACTTAATTGTGGTGACTATAAGAAGCTTGGGAAAGGTTTCTTTCCCCAGATTTTTAAATTTAAATACATAATAAAACACTTGAAAACTGGCACAAATAATGTGTTTTTAGTCTGGAAGGTACTGATAAACAAGGAGTACTGTGTCTACTTGACTGGAATGTACTTATGGGTTCTAATTTTGAAGGGAAACTCAGTTATAATTATAGATAAGAATTGTGCTTACAAAGAATGCCTTTATCTTCTGAAATAAGTCTAAATGTTGTTGCCATGAAATACTGCTGGAAATAAGATACTTCCATTATGTTGGGTTGGTTTTTTTTTTGTAAAGAATGCAGGGTTTTGTTTTTTTTAAAAAAGTATGAGAACCCTGAGAAAGATCATACTTGTAAAGCGTTTGCCCAAATAAAATACTTCATTAACAGTGCAAACCTGTACACCTCTACTCAGCAGCAAGCCCCACTGAGTTCAATGTGAGGTACTCCCATATGTGTATAGGATTAGTTTTTCTTAAATTGCACTATTATTAACCAAGACTATTCCTTTTTTCTTTTGTAAAAATGCACTCTACAAAATAACTAATGACAATTTTAACAGGTTAAAAACATTTACAACGAAGACCTTGATGTCGAGATAAATGAACATATCAGCTGGTTTAAGGAAGAATATATGAAAACTGAGAGAAATTGGGTAGAAGTGGGCAACAGGATGACCAAGACTTTAGAAATAAGAAGGAAGATGATCAATAAAGAGAGGAAGCCTTTCAAAGAAATTCTCATGCTATTCCCCTTTTTGAAGTGTCCTTCTCAGGTAATGGGTGTTTTCTTATTAACAACCTTATATTTCATGACAGAACACGAGTGCGCATAGGCATTTCTATGTTCGTGGCAAAGAAGGCACTTCTGTAACTTATTTGGAGGTTTTGACAGCAAATCACACCCTGTATCTTGTGATCCAAGAAAAATATGACCGCTAGTCATGATGGCTATTGCTCTGCCTCCACAGTTGGAGGCAGCCATGCTTCTATGATTCTGAAACCCCAGTAACGCTGCAAAGGAGAGCGTGATCGTGATCGGGTCCTGCATCAGTGCATACTTCCACTTGTGTGCTCTTTAAATTGTAATTTAACACATTTTCTCTGTTGGATTATCTAAATTGCTTTCCTTTCCCCCTTTAGCTTTTTAAAGAATATCATCTTTTAACACACAAAGACATTTACAAGAAAACAGCTGAGATTTTGGAAGCGTATTCAGAGGACATACTGACGTCGAATGTGGTGAAGAATAGCCCAGTTATTGTTGCTCTGCAGAAGAATCTAAAGCAGTACATGGAAGATGACATTCGGACATGTTGGTATAGCCTGTTGTGTCTGGTTTTAAAGCAGTTAATGGGCAAGATACTTTGTATAATAGAAGCTAAGCAAACATTTTCCTTAAGTGCACTGAGAAATGGCTGTTTGCTTTCAATGCACTATGGGACAGATCCTACATCAAATATAAATGGCTTTTTAACTGAAAAAGGAAGGTTAATTACTCATGCTTGAGATGCTGAATGTTTCTTGGAAAGGTAACTAATGTGTGTGTGAAGAAACCCTAATAAATTATTGTCTAGAGTGGAAAAAACATCCAAATATAGAGGTTCTGCTTTGAACACAACCGCCTATTAAAACACTTGCTTCTTCTGGCTGTTAATCCTACTGCCCTGTAATTGTTCTTCACTTTTGATAGATATGAAGATTACTGCCACATGTTTACTTTTGCCAGATGTTTTTGGAGAGGATTCCTCTTTGCTTGCTGCTGTGAATGAGGAGGTATGTAGATAACGAATTATATGGTGGGAGGCCGGACAAATTTTTTTAAAAAATCCACATGTACTCGTTTGTCTTTATGCAACATTGCAACAATATATTTGGAGATACCATTGATAATGGTTGATAACATGCAAAACAGTTTTTCTTTTATGTCTTGATTTTGTCAGGCATTGGAGTGCTTTCCTGGAAGGAAAGTAGCCCAGGAAGTAAGAACCAAACTGGGGTCAGCAGCTTCAATTCTTATTTACTAATGATCTTATATTGTCTGTTTTCGTTCAACTTGAACTCTCATTACTGGTTTAAAAGACAGTTTTGAGAGGATGATGATCCTCCTGTTACTTTCTTTTTAGTTAATACAAGAAATCCCATGAATTTTATGCGTAGACTTCTATTTTTTTAAAACCAGGTGAAAGTGTCAACACCAGTACTAGAAGTAAAATACCCATTTGATGGAAACGTGTGTGAGTGTTCCCTGTACGTGGAGAAGGAGAAATTGGCCCAGCTGGATGATTGTACAATGGCCCTCGCTGCTCTGCTGGCTTCCTACCATGTCTTTGGCATTCCATACCCCAAAAGACTGTACAATACACTTCACTTTTTGGAGTCCCTCATCTTTGAAGTCAAGTGTCCGCAGTTCCTTTCAGCAAAAATCAAGTAAACTGGGAAAAATGTGAATATACCAATACTGAATATACCAATACTGCCTGGCGTGCTCTGGTCCATGGGGTCACGAAGAGTCGGACACGACTAAACGACTACAACCAATACTGAATATTACTTAATGTGGCTTTGGGGCAGAATCCACTTGCAAGTAATTCCTGGTTTTATCATTTGCCATTTTGATTGATTTAAGTGCACTTTTTAGTATAATCTTGCTCCTTCAAAAAAGAAAAAGAAAAAAAGTTACCGTAGATGTTTTATGAACATTTGCTTTTATAGCAACTACCTTCTGCCAAATACTCATATTCTTAACACCCAACTCGAATGGGATGTGGGTTGTTTTTAATGTTTCCATGAATATCCTGTCCCTCTAGTTTCATAACTTTGTTATTTCCTAACAGTGTTCATAAAAATGTAATGCAACTTGATTTTAAATAACTACCTATGGTCCTGTGACAAATGTATTTTAATTTTAAACGTGTTGACTCTGTATCTAATGCATCCATGCTAGATTGTGCAGTTCTACCTTGACTTAAAAGAAACATTCCTCAAGAGAGCCATTAAAAATAATCATAATGCGGCAAGAATGGGAGGTTCATGTTGCCCCAAGCCAGTGGAACCACTTTTATTTCTAGAAGTATAGAAGTATAGTATAGAAGTAAGGGAAGTATAAAAGTAAGAGAACGATAGCGCATGTACAACGTGAGATGATCCCTTGCCTATCTAGCTAACATGAAAATATATACCATGTGTGAAAAATGACATACTTACTTCCCACACTAATTTAGCCAGCCATGTGGCAATGTAAGTAACCCCATCATCTAGTTGTTTACAGATGTTACCAGAGGACTGAACCATAGCAAAGCTTCTCTTTCCACTCTCTTAGCTTGTGAGAATACCACACACTGCTCACGTGTTGAAGTGTGGAGGTTAGAATACTCTCTCTCTATTAACACTCTGTTAACAGATATTAACGGGCTCCAGTACCAAATTCTACACTTCTAAAGCACACTCAGTAGTCTCATTTGCACATCAGAGTAAACTATTACTCTGGTTTATCACGAAGGGGCCTTTCTAGTCTGTATCTAGTCTGTGTGCTAGCACACAAAAGAAGAGAGCCATGACCCCTGACTTAGCATTACATCCAATGGTTTCTTATGCTCCAATAAATCAGTCAGTAAGCCAACAACAAACCTTGAGTACGTATTGTGGCTTGTTGGAACAATGCAATCTAATTCATAACACCCCTGCTTCATGTTTCTTTTCTCTTGTGCCGCAAGCGCAAGTCACAAGACAACTGGACTTTTACAAGTGAAAAATTCCTTTTAGCTGTAACATAAATTTTACTTGACTGTCTGCTTGGGCTTTTCCCTATCTCTTGTCCTATCTTTAAATTACTGAGGGTAATGCATTATTCCTGCTCAAATAGATTTTTAAATTCCCCAAGGAATTGGAGATTTTAGTTGTAGAATTTAATTTCTATCTTTCGTCTTAGATTTGTGGACTAAATATTATAATGCAGCATAAAACAATTATATAAATCCTGAATTTTACTTTTGTTGGTTAGTTCTTCTTTAATACTAAATATGCTGGTGGAAATATTTATTAAACTTCTTTAATCATGCAAAAAAACAAAAACAAAAAAACATAGCATTGGTCTCCAGCAATGTTTTCATACAACAGAATAAATCAATCAGCTTCACTGTACACAGCAAAGTATTAAATTTGAGCTGCTGTGTGAAACTAAGACGACTTGTTAACAGTCTTCATTAACTGTAGTCCACTTATTTTAAACTGCGAACAATTTTTTTTTTAATGAAAATGATGAAACGATACAAAGGAATTCATTGGTGAAGAAGTAAATTCATGAAGTGTGTATTTTGTGTCTCCTTAGAAAAGGATAATATTTCCATAATTTTAATATGTTAACTTAGTTGATGGATCCCCGATAAAATTAAGGATGGCTAGTTGTGGGAAAATCAGAGCCATCAGCCAGTAAACATTAAGTACCCACTCTTTTGTAAGAGCATCTTACTAAAAAGCTTAAGCACTTCCCAGAAGTGTTAGTTTGCTCAGGCTCTTGGAGAAAATCAACACTCCATCCACTCTGACTTTTCGCCTTGGAGAGTTCCTCCTTGATGATCCTTTGGAGTCTTTGTGCTTTGAATAAAACATGAGCTGCAATGGAGAGAGCTGCCCTGTAGTCACTTTTCCATCAGAGTTCATTGTGCGAGTTCTTATCGGCAGCCTTGAACATCAGGATTGAGTTGAAGATCTTTAGGGCTGGTCCTAGCTTAATGCTCATTATTTTTACTATATCTGTTTGGGTCATTAGAAGGAAAGCTTCTCCATCAATTTGCTTGAAAAAAAAGGAGAAAATTTCCATTATTAGTAACTTTGGACATTTAGGAAGAACTCTAAATTTTAATAATAATTTAAGATACAGTGGTACCTTGGTTTTTGAACGCCGTAAACCAGCAAGTAAATGCTTCTGTTTCTGAATGCACCTCAGAAGTCGAACGGCTTCCACTGAAGTACCACTGTGCTTTTCTCAATTTTCTCTATTAAATTTGCAGACTGCACTTTGCACCTTGGTTTTCGAACATTTCCGAACTCGAACGGTCTTCCGGAACAGATTACGTTTGAAAACCAAGGTACCAGTGTTACAATGGCTTTAGCTGGCTCTCAGAAAACAAATCTGATTTCAGTTGAAACCAGGATCAAATAATGTCTTCAGGAATATGCCCTAAACCAGTATTTGGCCTCCTTTATGCATTTAAATAATAATTCTTGATCAGAGAAACAACAGATTTGTTATACTCACTTCGTCTTTGAACACCTTGCCATGTTCCTCACAGCCTGGCAAACTCCGTATGAATTCTGACACCTGAATTTTAACAACACATAAAATAAATGGATGCTTATCCGCAGGAGGGTGCAAAAAATACTGTGATCTTGTCTAGCAATTAACAACAAGCACATTCTTCGAAGGCCCAAGCCCCATTAGCTTGGAAATTAACACAGTTCTGAAAAATATTAGAAAAACTTGGATAATTTTTTTTTAAATGGCCCCGGGGTTTAGAAACATTGACCCCCTTTTTCCCACTCTCACACAAGAGCTCCATTAGCATGGCATTCACTCATTTGTATGGAGGAAGAGAAAAAGATGCTACAATGGCCAAACATAACGGAGAGATTGGGGAGTGCTCCCAGTGGCTTCCTCGCAAAAAAATTGGATCTCATCACTATGTCTTTATTCCAGCTGATTTTAATATAATGAAGCTCCCCACCACAGGAGGTGGCCTTCACTCTTTCCAATTTTGCCTGCATAGCCTCTGTTTATGTAATCGAGGTCTGTAGCTTAGAAGAGGGTGGGGTAGAATCAGGTGGTGGTGAGCAATGATGGGAAGTTAAAGAATCCAACAACATCTGGAGGGCTGCAGGTTTCCCATCTGTGCCCTAAGACGACACTTACTGTTTTCCCTATGATCTGTTCTAACACTGCCCTAAGCGAGTATTTTAGAAAAATGGAGCTCTACAATAAATTGGAACTCAGTATAGCCAGAAGAACAAAATCAGGAGGACAGAACAAAGTCACCATCTGCATTGGTTGTAAGAACCATCTGCCTTTACCGTAAGGCAAAACAAGTTGTCTTTAAAGTATGATTCCTCTTAAAGGAGTTTAGATACAGTCCACTTTCTGATAAAGACAGAAAGGTTTATTTTATGTAACAGAGCTACTTGAGCATAGTTTTTAGGATTGATCTATTATATGCTACATCAGAAAAGGTTTTTTTTTAGGATTCACCTATTATTTACTATTATCCTACTTAAAAAAACCCCTCAAATAGCTTACTAAACTTAAAAGGAACCATGTTACATTAAAAATAAATACATAATCAGCAATAAACAAATAAGCAATAAACTATACAGTGGACGCTTGGGTTGCGAACGTGATCCATGCGGGATGCACATTCACAACCCACAGCGTTCGCAACCCGCAGCTGTGCGTCTGCGCATGTCTAGGTTGTGATTCGGTGCTTCTGCGCATGTGCAAAGCTTCCGGGTTTCGGCGGTCTGTAACCTGAAAAAACGCAACCTGAAGCGTCTGTAACCCGAGGTATGACTGTACAATATTGTGTTCTGTACAAAATAGAGCTATAACCCACAAAGATGACATGATCAAGTGAAGTCTGCTTCAGTTCACATCCAGCAAGAATTGCACTGGGAACACACCTCATCTGTGCTCCACTTGGAAACTTTACTGGCAGGGATTCCAGCCACAGTAGGAAGGAGCTTACTCTGCTGTTCCCATCGCAATGGAAAGGCTGGGATTGTCAACTTCGAGGTCAAAATAACTGGCTGAGGATGGGAACTCCTGTTATTGGATTCCTTGGTATCTGTAAATAAAAGGAAACAAACAAAAATACAAGCAAGTTTTTAAACTGCAGGCTGAATTATTTGGTTCAGATCTGACTGGCCATGGCGACCGGTGACATAATCCATAAATGTGAGCTTAAACCATTAATTTGTGGCATTCAAAAAATCCTGTACATTGACAGGTAAAACATGAGATAGTACCTTTGGATTCATTTAGAGATGACTCTTCATTTTCCATCTTCCTGCCTGCGCAGCCATCTTTCTTTGCAAAATCCTTAGTTGCCTGGCATCCCCTAATTAATTGATTAAATAAATAAATTGATTAATTTTCAAGATGCTACAGAGTACAACAAACCATTCCTGTCACCTTTGCATGGAATATTCTACAACAAGAAATGGAGACCCATATATGTTCTGACAGGGGTTTCCATTGTCTCCTGAGACAGACTGAAGCCAACCAACCATCTGGCAGGGTTCTTGGGAGCATAAAATGTACCAGGGAGAGAGATCTTTGCCTCAGCTTTAATTTAAGAAATACTACAGAAGGAAGCAACCAGAGTGTAATTGCTGGATTACTGTGCTGAAACACAGAAAATAACCGACAATTCTCTATTATCTTCAGTAGCTATCATAGGCGATTAACTTTTTATAGAAAGTTGACAGAAATGGAAGTCACTTTTATGAGTATTTCCTTTGTCATCTGTCACATAACACCTGCCTGCTATTTTAACACAGAAATGTAAATGGCTTATATAGAAGTGCATTACTGGAGGGGGACATCCTGGAGCATGATGCAATGCAGGCAGCCACAGAAAATAACTAATAAGGTCTGGACAAAACGCAATTCAATTAAAACAACAAACAACTGCCATGAATAGCGTACGACTACATTTATCAGCGGTGAAGCACTGTCCCATCCATCCTTACAATTTAATTCAGTGCTACAGGGTGCGGTGAAAGAATTAATTCACAATAAAGAATATGCAAAACGGAATAGTGGTTCACACACACTCGCCATTAGCATGGAAAAACTCACCACAGGGCAGTAACATCCTTGAAGAACCCCGTGATTAAAATGGGATTCTTTTTAATGTGTGCAAGGTTATAAACCACTTTGAGGGTTGTGTGTTTTTTTAACAATTAAACAAATTTTTATGGTGGGGGGGAGGTTGTGCCTAAGATTTTCCTGTTTCGCTGCTGGTCTGGGCATTTCACAAAAGCAGACAGATTTGACACAAAATACGTCACACAGACATGTTGATGAAAATAGTCTGGAGGTGAAGGAGCCTGGTCTGTCCAACACGTATCCTGCCTGGTTGCGATGGGGGAAGAGTGCCACAATACATGCATTTTGTCCAGAGAAAATATTATAGTAGGAGAGTAAATAGTAAAAGTGATAAAGAAACTGCAGTGAGTGATGTAATGAAGCTTGAAATGACATAATGATGTTTGAAAATGAACATATCAACAGATTTCTTTTCTGCAACAGCTCCTCTCGCTGATATACAGAATTCCATTAATAATTTCTGGTTTCTGGTTGTTTTGTTCTTCTTGATATGGAGATGCTCATATTGAAAAGTAAGTGTTTGGCTATTCTAATTACAGAAAAATAATTTGATCTAGGTTTCTGGGGATTTAATTGGTTCTTAATTAAATAGAAAGCTTCAGTAACCTAAACACTACTGTGAAATATCAACTGCATGTAATTAACTTTTCTGAACAGAGTGCATTGTCCCTGTTCACATGTTATCAGCAGCCACTTAATAATAGGGCTGTTGTGAAAATGATATGTTAAGTGTTATATTTGGGGTATCCCATTGTACTGTAGCAAGACAACAGACACCACACTATGGTCCTTAGGCAAAGATCCTTTCCCCACAAGCATCTGGTGGTGTAACATAACAGTACTGTTTTCTTCCTTTTTTATATAAGCTCTGTTTTTAATTAAAGCCATAAATATCTATATCTGCTGCAAAGGTGGTGAATGCATTTCTATGGATAAAAAAAATACTAGTTAACATTTCTTTTAAAAAGGAAATTAAAAACTTGTGTATCTCTAAATATGGAGAATCCAATCTCCATGAAAGGAAGATTTCTCTTATCTGCTTTATATATGTCAGAAGCACTGGGCATTATTGGTTAATGCTATAGTGAGGTTATTTCATGTTTTTTATTTTAACATGATACACAATACAACTATCAATAAAAAACAGCAGCCTCTACATGTCTGATAGACTAAGGTTACCAGATGTCCCCGTTTCCTGGGGACAGTCCCCGGATTTACAAGTCAGTCCCCTATTTAGTAGGAAGTTGAAAAGTGTCCCCAGATTCATTGGAAAAAAATCTGGTAACCTTATGACAGACTAGTCTAAACAGAAAACAAGACTAGTAACAATATTTCTGCAAACTGACTTTGTGGGCATTGTAAGATCTGTCAGTTTCCTAAACCCAGGAACAAGAGAAAGATATCAGCCTTAAAGATGGTAAAATGTGATAGCCTGGTGCATAGTAAACAGGACAAAATGGAAAGAAAAATAGATAGGCAAATAGACAGTAATATTTCTGGGAGTTATTCATGTGGGCAATATAGAATTTGTGTCAACACTACACAAACTATGGCTATAATTCTTCCCTAGGCAAAGGCACAGCAGCTGGTGCTTGTGTTATAATTGTGCTCTATAACTGCAGACTTCTTCAAAAACTGGGGTTGTATTGATCTGCTTACAAAAGGCAATTAGATCAATCAGAGGCTTTCATGGGCAGGAAGGAGGAAGAGGTGGTTTCTGCAGCTTCTTCCTTTCTCCTGCAGCCCCCTGGGGCACCTGCCACTCTGTTCCAAAGGGTTCCCTAACCCTGTACAGCAATCCCCACCCCCACCCCGGTTTGGGTGTGTATACAAAAATCAGCAAAAACTGCCTCATTTTTCACTTGCAGCTGAACCTGAATTTCTGCTGAACCAGTGGAGGAACACAGCTGGATAAAACTTTTAATTCATTACATCAGTTAGTACCATGAGAACCTACTACTTCTAATCATGTACTCAATTCCAATACAATGTTTTAAAAATATGCTTCCAAAAAGTATGTTGCACATACACCAAAGTTAATATTTTCTTAGTGCAATGCTTTGCTGGGCTAGTTTCAGTTATGGCATTCTAGTTTCTATAGAAACTGCACAGAAGAAAGCAATGTGGCCTATATCTAAACTAGATACCTTTCGCTCCCCCTGTTCAATAGAAAAAGTACTCAACCACTTGAGACAGTATGCTTGAGATGCTTATTCTTAGCCTGAATATTTGCATGCCTGATAATGTTGATCAGCACAGCATTAGTGTTATCTGGGCAGGATACTGCAAGTTTGACCCCTGGTACAAAAGACCCGCCCACCGTGAGGCAGCTGCCACTGTTTTGTCCAAAAGGAGAGACCTTGAAGTGTCAACCTGCTATGATGCATGGAACACTCTCTTCACTGAATCATAATCACCAGCTTATTTGCCAAGCGCAAGTAAGCATTCCTAATCCCGTAACTTCCAGTAACAGAGTGCATCATTTATATGACATGGTGCATCTAACAAGTAGGACACCTGCACAAAGCACTTAATTCAGGAAAGCAATTACTGGCACTAGGATGATGAGCATCAGAGCTGGAGTATTCTTTATTTTTAACATATTTGAAAGGATACCTGTAGTTCTTTTCTTTGACATCAAACATTAGAGGCTTTTTGCAAAGAGGTTTCACCTCTGTGTCTTCCTGCTTTGATGAATGGAGATGAGCTGAAGATTTTAGGACAATGGGACTGGGACATTTTCTATTACTGATTTAAAATAAAAGGACAAGCTTTCAAAATCCTACATTCATATCAAAATTAATTGAAGAATCGAATAATTAATAACAAGCTGAACACCATGCAGTAGGAAAATACCATATAAAACTTCCTTATCTGCTATTCAGATCTTTACAATTTGAGATGGATTCCTATTTAGAAAATACAATTGCACACAAATATGGAAATCTCTTTTTGGGATTTATTTGCACCCCAACTCCAGAATCAAACCTGCATTCATGGAAGGACAGTTGGGCTCACAGAGGTTTTTCCATAAGTGGAAAGGGATCTCTCCATGAGCACATTTCCTTCTATGATTGGCAGGAGCTTCCATTCAAAGGGAGAAAATAGGATCCAAACCTGGAGATGAAACAAATATTTCAAATAGGGATTGAAATCTATTTACTATTCTGTGTTATTATAAATAAAATTGAAATTATGTAAATGTTAACCAGATATCTGATTTTGCTTTAATTGAAAAAAGTAATCTGTATATTATTTAGTTCATAAAAATTATATACCATTTGATTGTAAGAAAAAACCCCTCTAAAAAGATAAAAGATTCAAATCAAGAATAAATGCAATACTTTAAAACATACAGAAAATTAAAATATTAAAATTCAATTCAGCATTTCTAAGCATTCTGGGTAGGTTTGCCTAAACAATGATTTTAGCAGGTGCCAAAAGGTTAGCATTTGATCTAAGTCTGCAAGCACTATAAGCTACATATAAAGGAAAATTCTGTCATAGTTACCTGATTACAGGAGATGCAGATCTTTCATTTGCTTCTGGCTTCCGGTTCCAATGCAGAGGCGGAATACTCTGAGGCATCTCTCCACTTAAGCGGTCTGAAAGGATATGTTCTTTGCTCAGATTTATCTCAGAATATGGGCAGCTGAGAGCACTGAAAAATTGAAGCAGAAGAAAGAGATTAGACATTGAAAAGACTTCCCAGTTGAACTGAACACCCTAAAGATTACAAGTTAGGTGGAACCTGTCTCAATCCATTAACCTATACAAGTAAAAATGTCTTGCAACTAAATTTGAGCACACAGCACTTGGAAGTTCCTCATCAGGGAAATGTACTGATAAAAGAAATTCATTTGTAGGTTTCTTGTGCCATAAGATGTCAATACCTCTTCTCTTCAGTTTAGTTTGTTCAGGTAGAAGCAGCCAGCTTTGTTGTCCCCCTTCCCTGGCATACAAAGCACCACAAGTCGTTTCTGTCATGTAATGGAAGGCACTGTGCCTTTTCTGTAGTATTTTCAGGTGTTTAAGTGTTACTGACATCCCAAAATACTGCTCCCTTCTGCCTGACTCACTTTACTTGATAGTAACTGTTCAGCTCCAATGTCAAATTGGGTCTATGCTGGAAACGGAGGGAAGGAGTTACTGCCATGGGCATAGTTCTTCCCTCATGAATGACTTCAAAATGGCTAGGCGTCTCAGAAGACCACTTAAACTTTTTTCATTTGGCATAGTCATAATTGTCAAAACTGGCTATGAAAACCACTGGCCCCAGGCCAAAATCCCATTAGCCTGCTTGATAAATTGAGCTCTACTCAAAACAGCCTCAATCTCTGTTGTTAGAAAAAAATTATCCAAGTACAAGACCAAGTAAAGATATTACTGATGTTATTCTCAAACCACCTAGATGAAGCTTCTGGACTTGTCCATGAAAGCCCTATGCAAGGACTTCTCTCCCCGCTCCCACCCCCCATTAGCTCAGGAAGGGTTGGGAGAATCCCCAGAATAGCATGCATTCTGAATAGAAGGGGGATTATTCTGTTTCACAAGCCTACAATGCTTGCGCTAACATAACCATCAGAAGAGCATGACTTTGCCTTTCTCCCTCAGTGACTCGCAGACCATAGTTTGAGAACTTCTGTTCAAGTGTAATAGTAGGCAGTAAGATTGAAAGTCCAAAATGAAATGCTAAGAGGGACTGGGGAAACTTCAGAATCTGAATTGAAAGTCCAAGTGCAATTTTTGTTAAGTAAGCTGCTTCATCTGTATGAATATAGCATTGGCTTTCACAGGACACTTGGCTTCAGAGCTTTTTGCCAGAAGCAGACAAACATTTCCTGAAGTATTTGATTAGCATACATTAAAAAGGAGGGGATAAATTAAAGAAATCACACTTCTAAAGTAAGGTGAAAATTACAAAATGAATAAAATTAATTAGGAACTGAAATTGGCATCATAGTCCCCACAAGTCCTAGGTGCCACATAAATTGCCTATAATTGCTCTTAACTTTTGACAGTAACACAGATATGTAACTATTAACTGAATGCACAAAATGAAGCTTCCACACTTTGCCAGACACAACAGAAAGTATATGAAAGAGATTCTCCTTTACTTGTCAATAAACTAGAACACCTACTGTGAAAGAGAATTACTCTTTTCTTTTCTTTTCTTTTCATATTATTGTTATTTTAGGAAGGACTGCCTTTGTACAATATAAGGGGGGGGAAATGAGCTCACAATTTACCTGTGGCTTCTCTTTTCAAGACAGTAGCTATCCTCCCACTTACCATTTTACATTTATCCCTCATTGTGACATAATTGCTTTTGATATCACAAGCATCTTCCTCAGAGCAGTAACCTAGCAATCTATATAACCACTCTGAAATGGCAAATGTAAAGACAAAGAGCAACCCCAGTCTCTTTTTAGTCTTTAGCTTATTCTGTTGGGTAGTCCAAAACACCAGGTATTTTTCAGGTTTGGACCAAAGGAGCTGTATGTTGTGCTAATCAACTTTCATTGTTTTCCTTTAAGCATTTGGCTCTGGGCAACATTCAATCCTTACAGATGCTTTCCAGAATGGAAAAGAGATCAATTCTTCAGTACTGGAGGCCTTGCTGCTCTTTTGCTATTGACAGAAAGAATGCCAGAGCGCAGCATGCGAAGAGTGTCTTATAATAGAAGAAATACTACTGGCATTTTTCCTTAGTGCATTTATTTGTTTCAATCATGCACTTCCATTTGGGTTGCCAGCCTTTCTTCTCTTTTTCTTTCACTTCACACTGAACTGCCTTTCTTTCTCATTCACTTCTATTAGTTCTTGGAAAAAGCTGTGGGTTAGGGTGGGCACAAGAGGGTGCTGGGGATGCTTTTGTTGAATATCACAACCAAGATCCAAATATCTACTTTCAACAAATCTGAGAGCATGGAAATATTTTTTTTTTTACATTTCTCCCTGAAAAACAGAAGGGATTCAAACTACTTTTGAAACTCTGTCCTGGTAGAGCAGTGTGTGGCAGGTCAGGATTGCAGTACCATGGAGAGTTCCGAGTGAACAACTTGCTCTGACCAAGACTGAAAGCCATTTAAAGCTTCCACCTGCATCTCTCCCAGGCTCCACCCCTTTTGGTGAGAACTTAGGGCCAACCTTCTGGCCTGAACACAGCCTCCTGCCTGGTGAGGTACTGTGGAGGACATTTGTTTTTTCAGGCTCAGCAGAAGGCATCTGTGAGAATAAGACATCTGTGAGTCAGGTTCTGGCTCTACAGGCCCTGGGGGTTGTGCTATGGGCTGTCTGTCAGCCTCAGGATCAGTAATCTCCTGATCTGCAGTAGAAAGCTCAGAGTCCTCAACCTGGTCTGACTCCTTAGCCACTGACTGCAGCCTCCAACTGTGCGCCTTGATCACAATTGAACTCTGGGGCCATCATCCTCTACTTAGTTTCATAAGATAGCATGGAGGGCTCTTTGGCACATGGGATGAATCACAAGATTCTTCAGATCTCTGCCATTATATACACTTGTAAAAAATATAGAAGAATCAAAAAATAAAAGGAAAGGAAAACCATCTCCTTGCAATGTTAGAAAATAGGGAAACTAATATATAATTTTGGAGTAAAACCTTAGCACCTTAGAAATCAATGGGAGCTGTGATGTCATTCGATCCACAACTACAATGAAAGCATTTTGCCCAAGTTTGTCCTTCTTTGCTCACTGTGTTTTAAAACAACCAGCAAGTTGTACAGGAACTATACAAACAACAAATAAAGCATTTAACTAAAAATGTATGAATTAAAAAGCACACAATTTATTCACAGGAGACACCAGGCAAGCTAATCTTCCTGCCTTTAAACAAGGAGGGATTCAAATAAATGAAGCTTTTTCTCAGAAAGCGGTAAATTAATCTGTACATTGCTCAATTTCAATAATCAATTTATTGACTATGACCGCGCAGTCAAAATCTGATTTAAAAACTTAGAAATGCAAATGAAGTTCAGTATTGCATTTGAAAGAAAAATGGAGATGATTCAGTCCCATACAACATACATGGTTAATGGATTTTAATCTGTAAAACAAACAAAAGACAACTAAAAATATAAAACCAAATTACACTGTGGGAGGAACTGAGGCATAACTCGTGTCTTTTAAGACAGGTGCTGTATCCAATTTTAGGAAATAACTTTCTTTTTTAAGTGAATGCTTTAGATTTACAGTTCTTAAAACAGGACTACTACGTTAGCACTGTATTATGCAGATGGCTTATTTTGGAACTCAGCACCAAATGAAGTTGATTTGTCTTGGTTTCCATTCTGGTTTTTTAATAAAGCAAAGTAAAAAGAGACTTGCACATGAGCAGTACAAGCTCAGTTTGAGAAATATACAAGTAGGCTTGTTTTCTTCCTTTGTAAACCAATCCCCCTCTCCATTTCTGGGTTGCCATAACCATGTTCAACTATGACAAACTATGGTTTAGCACAAACTAGGTGTCTTGGTAAACTCTGAATGCAGGAGTTAATCATGACAGCCCCCGTAGCCATACCCCAAACCCTAAATCCATTGCCCCTCAAAGGAGAATCCAAATTGATGTCAAAAAAGGTAGCTGTGCAAGGAATGTTTACTACAGAAATGAAGGAATAATGTCTAGTCTTTCAAGAAGGACTCCAGTCCTATATATAGTTACCTGAGTGTAAGGTCCATTAAACTTAGGGGTGCTGACTTCTGAATGCATAGGTTAAACTTGCAAAACACATTAAGAGTCAACAAAAGATCTTCAGCCAGCTAAAGCCTCTTTGTCTCTTCATTCACTCACCTGAGTCAGGAGACACCATTAATTACCCTGGTACTCCAGCAAATGATGTCATCACTTCTACTCTGGAAAGAGCAGAAGGGCTGCATTCACCCAAGTTTCCCTTCCACTACACCACTGAAGCTTGGAAGTTGCCATTAACCATAGTTTTTCAGTTCAGATGTCATTAAAAACTAACAGTAACTTGGAGATGGAGGAAACACAAGAAAGGAGGAGGAGGAGGAGGAGGAGGAGGAGGGACAGCATGAGCTAGCAGCACGTTTCTCCATCCTCTAAACCACTGTGTTGGTGTTTTAAATCAATTCGTAAATCCTCCCAAGCAGCACAGCCTCCAGGTCTCCATTTAACAAGCCAACCAAAAATCATCAAAAATTAATCATGTTATTCCCTACATTGGGTTGTTGACACCAGAACAAAATGGTATACAATATCCCCTTCAAATGAATACACAGCTTAAAAAACAATTGGAAGAAAAAGAAATTATATGATTCACTTGACATCCTCTTTACTAAGGAATTGTGAAGGCTTTAATTTTTAAAAAGCACTAGACAGATCAGAAGTATGTCTAACAGCATAGTAAATCCCACGTTGTATTGAAATGAAACCAGTGAAATAGCAAAGCAACAGAAACATTGCATTTCTGGAATCAACAGTGTTTTTGTGAACTCTGTTGATAGACAAGAGAAGGAGTCCACATCTTCACAATCAATGACTACAAGTGACATTTCCACTAGAAAAATAAGAGAATGAATCACAGTGATTCATCTTTCCAGCGGGTGGACGGGAGACTGTGTTTGCATGTGGGCTTAAATACTCAGAACATAGTCAATCTAAATAGTCACACAATTTGAGGGTTGTTTTTTTTTACAAACAAGAGAGTGAAGAAAGGGAAAGTAGGATTCAGATAACTATAGTGTTGGGGTGGGGGGAAGTTATGCAGGACAGCTCCTTGTCCCCCCCCCCCCCAGGGCTTCTGAGGTTATGCAGATTTTCACACTCTTCCACGACCAGGTGAGTTATACAGGAATCTTAAAATCATTTCTACGTTGGCTGACCTTTGTATTATAAGGTATACTTTGTAGGACATTCAATACGCAATTCCTCACATAAACACACCAGACACTCCCATTTGTATGCAAGCCCAAACACTTTTCTGCAAAGCAGAACCCCCAAAGCCCTTTTTAACATCTACATTTTAAAAGGTGCTCATTTTAACCCTGCCATAATTAATCACTGCAGGTTTCATCCAGCTCAAGCAAAACACTTATCAGAAAATGGCCAATCTGCCTACTCTCAGACACTTGCTCTGACAGCATAAATGCACCTTGTCATAAAAAATTCAAAAGTACATTTTCAGCGCTGAGATGAAAGAACCCATGGAATAAAGCCTGACGTAGATAATTATATCCATTTTATATTGTCCTTTTAATTCAAGTGGACAGTGGGACACAATCTGAGGATTCTAGGATGACTTGGATTCAGAAACCTGTAGGCTCCTGCTATTTCCCCCCTGAGTGCTTATTGAACTAAATGTCCCAGTAATTTTAATATAGTTGAATTTGAACTCAAACTGAATTGTAAGACTGCAGCAGCAGCAAATACAAGTTATAACTGCATTAGTTTTCTTTCTCCTTATCATTACTTGGTAACAAATATAGTATATATTTGTGCTGACCTGCTTTATATTGATGCTTTTCATCTTCAACCAGATATCTATGTATATATGCTATATTATGTATATATGTGTGCATGTACACACAAGTCCCCCTACTGCAAATAGTTGTTCCAATTCATGGAGGGCAATGGGCACAGCAATGGGGCAGAGGCAGGGGGAGGGGGTAGCCCCCCCCCGTCTCCACTTCTCCCATCTCACTCATTGACAAATGCCTAAAGAAAGGGCAGGGGGGGGACTAATAATATATTTTATCTGCTTTCCCATTCTTTTGAGTGGTGCTTAGATCAGAAATTCTGTAACACGCATTTCTAAACAAAATAAAAAAAATCCTTCCAGTAGCACACTACAAGGAGTGAGTCTCTGTGACAACGAAGAACAAGTTTGCTGTCTAGATTAAGCAGAAGGAGTAGTACAGTGGTACCTTGGGTTACAGACCCCATTGGGTTACAGGCCCCATTAGCTAAAGTGGTGTCTCAGGTTAAGAACAGTTTCATGTTAAGAACAGACCTCCGGAACGTATTAAGTTCTTAACCCGAGGTACCACTGTAATTGGCACAAAGTAAGGGGTACATTCCACAGATGGATATATTAAGCAAGTTAGCATTTAACTATGTCTATCTAGCTGACAGCAGTGACAAAACAACATGTTTCTACTTCAATAGAGGCTATCAGGTGCATTTAAGATACCCAAAGACAAAACACTGATGTGCTCACCAATTGCACAAACCTGTGAAAACTACTCTGTAAAGATAGGCTACATTGTTTGTGTGCGTCTAAAGATATATATATATATATATATATTTGCTTTCGTAGATTTTCACGGGTACAGGAATGCAGGTTTTGGTGTTCTCGGGTGTCTTCCCGTGTAAAAGTTGGGGTGTCTAGGCGACGTTTCGACGAGGTCTCACTCGTCATCTTCAGGCTGGTGCTTTCGGCTTCTTGTTACTGGAACAGAGCAGGATCTCAGTGTTTGAGTTCCTATAAATACTGTTGAGGAGGTGTGGTGTATAGCCTCCAATGTTCTGGGCAGAGAGGAGGTTCCCAGGCTAGTGTGCCTTTTCTTCTTTTGTTCCTTAATTACTTGAGGGATATCTTGAGTGATTTCTTGAGTGATATCCTGAGTACCACTTAGGTGGGTCATTAGGTGTGGATTAGTTGCTAAAGCCTTCGTGTCTTGACCTCTTGAACTTTGTGAAGAGTTTTTCTGAGAAGATGGCTGTACTGCACTTAGTTGTGCTCTGGCTTGGCTTCGTGTATAGGGGCGAGCTGTGGTTTTGTGGCCTGTGCCACAAAAAACCGACACCAGATCCAGAGGCACACAGAACACCATCACCAACCAACCACACCAGACCCAAACCCAGACCCTCTCCACAGATAAATTACAGACACCATCCAGTAGCCAAACCATGGTGGCACCTCCGGATGCTGCACCCCCCTGCAATCCCTACACAGATCTGGCTGGCACAGGCCACAAAACCACAGCTCGCCCCTATACACGAAGCCAAGCCAGAGCACAACTAAGTGCAGTACAGCCATCTTCTCAGAAAAACTCTTCACAAAGTTCAAGAGGTCAAGACACGAAGGCTTTAGCAACTAATCCACACCTAATGACCCACCTAAGTGGTACTCAGGATATCACTCAAGAAATCACTCAAGATATCCCTCAAGTAATTAAGGAACAAAAGAAGAAAAGGCACACTAGCCTGGGAACCTCCTCTCTGCCCAGAACATTGGAGGCTATACACCACACCTCCTCAACAGTATTTATAGGAACTCAAACACTGAGATCCTGCTCTGTTCCAGTAACAAGAAGCCGAAAGCACCAGCCTGAAGATGACGAGTGAGACCTCGTCGAAACGTCGCCTAGACACCCCAACTTTTACACGGGAAGACACCCGAGAACACCAAAACCTGCATATATATATATATATATATATTTGCTTTCGTAGATTTTCACGGGTACAGGAATGCAGGTTGACACCAGATCCAGAGGCACACAGAACGCCATCACCAATCAACCACACCAGACCCAAACCCAGACCCTCTCCACAGATAAATTACAGACACCATCCAGTAGCCAAACCATGGTGGCACCTCCGGATGCTGCACCCCCCTGCAATCCCTACACAGATCTGGCTGACACAGGACACAAAACCACAGCTCGCCCCTATACACGAAGCCAAGCCAGAGCACAACTAAGTGCAGTACAGCCATCTTCTCAGAAAAACTCTTCACAAAGTTCAAGAGGTCAAGACACGAAGGCTTTAGCAACTAATCCACACCTAATGACCCACCTAAGTGGTACTCAGGATATCACTCAAGAAATCACTCAAGATATCCCTCAAGTAATTAAGGAACAAAAGAAGAAAAGGCACACTAGCCTGAGAACTTCCTCTCTGCCCAGAACATTGGAGGCTATACACCACACCCCCTCAACAGTATTTATAGGAACTCAAACACTGAGATCCTGCTCTGTTCCAGTAACAAGAAGCCGAAAGCACCAGCCTGAAGATGACGAGTGAGACCTCGTCGAAACGTCGCCTAGACACCCCAACTTTTACACGGGAAGACACCCGAGGACACCAAAACCTGCATATATATATATATATATATATATATATATACACACACACACACACACAGAGAGAGAGAGAGAGAGAGAGAGAGAGAGAGAGAGAACCCAGCAACTATTACGGCACACATCTGAGTTTTAAACCAGAACATACCAATGAAATTACAAACCTTTCCATGTTCATTCCAAAGAGGTAACCTGAATTCCTGTTTTCTTCCTCTAGTCCACATCTTCTTTTTCACAAACAGCAATTAAGGCTGCAATTCTATACCCCATTTCCTGGGAGTAAGTTTTATTGAACTCCATGGAACTTCCTTCCGAGGAGACGTGTGTATAAGCTTGTGTTAGAAATCCAGTCTGTGCAGATTCTAATTGGCCATCCAAGTTTAGCTATTTCACACATACCTGTGGTGGCCCGTATGTCTGGCTCTTTTTATGTGTCCAACTCCTTTGCAGCCCGCTGTAGGACATCCTCCTTGTTCTAAAGCTTCTACCAATTCCAAAGGACCTATACAAATAATATGGGAGGTAAAATGCAAAGCATTTGTCAGAATGGAAGTTATGTCTCCCGTTTAGGCAAGCTCTAGTGAACATCTGTTTAAAATGCTGAAGACCAACAAGTACAAATTACCAAGATAAAATATTTAAACCTTACTAAAATCTCCTGCAACCATTTCATTATCTTGTTAGTCAAAACCTGACAAGTATTTTATTCTTTAATAAATTATGACTCGATTGTATGAATATTGAATCAAACAATGATTTATGTTATTCTGCACATAAATATTCCTGCATTCAGGATATAGATGCAATTTCTTTCACAAGCTATTAAGAATTTATTTCTTCTATTTTGTTTTTGAAAATTTAACTCCTCCTGCAAAAAATGAACACCCTCTTCCGCCCAGAAAATGTTTCTCAATAAGGAAACTACAACTTAAGAGGTTAATTTATCAGTTGTTTCCAAGAGCAAGCATTATTCCCAACTGATCCCCCAAGTATTCACTTCTAACTACATTTCTATGGTTCTATAAACTATTACAGCAATAACTGACTTGGCTCTAATATGCCACATCACTTTTTCTGAGTCAATCAAATACTTTAGAAACATTTCTTCAGAATCTAGAAGATGTTTTAAAAGCATTCATATACTGGTTTCTATTTTTTACAGTGAAATAATAGGGATGCAACATTTAATCAACAAAGGGGTTAGATCAATTGATTAAGAATTTAAAGGCATAACAAAGGTTTTTAATTATTACTTTTTTAAAACAAAAACAAAAACTGTTCATCCTTTGTTCAGAATGTGAATTTATAAAGAGCTATAATTTTGCCATGATCTGGAGTAACATGAATTCATATTTAATATCAAGTCAGAAATTAAGATTATCACTATTTTCCAGTCTCCAGTACCAAGGTTATTTGCTTCAAAGATGCTGGCTTTGTTATGCATACTAGACTTATTCAGTATTACAGAGGTGGCATCAAACAAAGGACAGGTATTCAATATCCTTTCTTTAAACTTCTACTATATCTTATATCACATCTCACTAAGTGGGGGCTGAAGAGGATGTCCAGTTTTCCCACACCAGCCAGCAGGATGGATATCAGGGCTATCTGCATCGATCCAATAATCATAAATACTATCCCAGCCATCGAAGTGGACCTAGAACACAAAGGAATATTACATTTCAAACTTAAGCAAAGTCCTATTCCCATGCAATCTCCAAGAGTGCTTGGCTTTCGTTAGAGAACATAATGGTTAAGAGAATCCATTAGTTCAAATTTCAGGCATTATGTATTGGACAAGGGTGGGTGGGAGAAGGAGTTTGTCAAGCAATTCAAAATTATTTGTAAGCTCTCGTCTTACAAATTACAATAGCTTTTGCATTTACTGAGATAAGAAATAGACCGCAATGACAACTAGTTTATTAAAGTGTTGATGCATGAGCTTAACAATTTCTTTAGTACAGAATGGTCCTCAATGTGAATCTATATGACGCCTAAATAACTTGCGATCCATCAAGTTAAACACAGCTCACTGACCATACAGTCAGTGAAGCTTCTCCAGTGCTTTTGACAGACCCTATTGTTGCAGTCACAGGCATACAATAAAAATAGGGCACTGAGCCCCTGATGGAGCACCACAATTTTTGCCTCACCCACATCCCCCTGAAATTCCCCTGCCCCAAACACACCAGTTATACTGTTACTATGCACTAAGTAATGATGATGATGATGATGATAAAAAGGTTAAGTACTATCTAGAACAGGATGAAAGTTTTGAGAACTTAAGCTTGCATTATTTGAATCATCTAGTTCTGGTTTTCTAAAATTATTCCTCATCCTGCAGGCCATAAGTGATACCAAACACTGTAGATATGCAAGAAAGTAGTTCCAAAAAACAACCAGCAGATAAAAGCACTGTTAATAAGTCATGGAGTGTAAAATACGTACGGTAGTAAAAATGTTTTAAATGTTTTCTTTCCTTGCTAGTTTCAATTTTATATCATATCTAAGAGGAAATGAATGGGAGTCTGAAGAACTAGCACCGTACAGGATGAAATAGGATATAACTGAACGTATACCTTTATTGCAGTACTTTTTGGGCACAATGCACCAAGCAATACATTTCAGGTGTAATTTGCAGTAAAATGACTGGAGATTAGCTGTCAACTCAGCCGGCTCTAAAGCCTCATGTGTTATTATGAAACTGCTGGGTTTGTAGGCTTCTTCATTCACTTTAATTGAAGGAATGTGGATGTTTGTTCTCCCTTCTATGGAAGTGAATGGAGAAGCCATGTGGGACATTGTGTGTAACATGATACCACCACTCAGAAAGGGATTGTTCAATACAGTAATTTTAAAATATATTTAAAAGTATGGATTACTTTAATTCTGTGGTCATCAGTATCTACCACGGTTGCTACCCTGATAAGGACAGGATTCCTCTTGTCAACTACTTCAAGTTTCATATTCTTCTGGAATCCATGAGAAGGTTTCTACAACAAAGAAGAGATTGAGCTGCTATTATTTATATCCTTCTTTTCTATTAAAAATAACCAAAAGAAAATAAATATAAAAGAAATGTGTTTTTTTTAAAAAAAACACTAATCAGATTTGTTGCAGCTGCTCCCATAGTTTACAATGAATAACTGATGTCAATTAAACTAAAAATTTAAAACTGCATATGCACCTACTTAAACTGGCATTCACAGCTTTAAAAATAACCTTTGTTAATGACTTTGTGTTGTATGCAATTGTCTCCTTCCACTGCTGAAAAGCTCTTTGATCCAGCTGAGAGTTCTATGAGTGGGAAGTGGGAGGAAATGGTTGTTGCAAATTTCCCATTTCCTATGTCCAGCCCTTTTAATACTGTTGAAATGCTCTGATGGGATGACAACCTACACTTCCCCCACCTACCTCTAGTGAGAGAAATTATTTAGCTTCTTCATTATACAGTAGGGTGGAGAAAGAAAAGACATACCCAATAAACGTTTGCCTGAGTATTTTGCCTTGACAGCTACAAAATAGCAATATTATTATTTTGATATGCATGTTGATTGCAAGCTGAAAAGAAAATATACTATTATACACTACTTTGTTTATAGCTCAGTTTTAAACGTGTTTGCCGTCTGCTTTGTTGTTACTGTGACTGCATGCTTTACTATTCTTTCTTTTTTTCATATTTTGTTATGACTTACTGGCCAAGACACCAGCACAATATCTTAAGACTGTCCCAAAAGGTAGACTTTGTGGCTTCATGATCATGCCAATTTCTCTCTCTTGCCCTCAACCCTCTGATTTACTTAGCTGTTGTTTTTTTGTACCTGCTGAACTAAAACTTGCCTCCCAAGCTGAAACATTGGTAGCTTTTAAACCATTAAGGTTATATGTTTATATATAAAACACCTAAGCTAAATAACTTTATAAAACAATGAATAGTGTGGATAGAAGGAAAGTTTTCTCCCTCTCTCAAAAGACTAGAAGTGAGGGTCACTAACAAAACTGACTGCCAACAGGATCTGAATAGAAAAAGGAAGGAATTATTCATATACTGCATAGTGAATTAATAGAATTTATGGCTAATTATAGAATCAGTCTCTTCTTTCTTAAACTGCCAGCATGCAGGAGCTGGCTGGACTAGGGACCCTTGCTTGCAGTTTGTGTTTAGGAGGGGGAAGGAAGCTTTGGGGGAAATGAGCTTTTTCCCGAACGCAAACTACAGCTATGCATGCTCACAATATGGATTAGGATTCCACGCAGTGGTGCCACACTCTGGATTTCCCCTCTCCACTCTGGCAATTTATGGAGGAAAAAGCACTCACACATGTGTAGAGTTTGGGCCCGAGGTAGTGGTGGTCACTAATTTTTATAGGCATTTATTTATTTACTCTTTGATGATTTTCCTTTCTCCTGGAGCCGCTGCCCTACCAGTTCTCCAGAGCAGATTTTCAAAGGGCACAAGGGAGCTGCAGCGGAAAGGAATTATCACTGAAAGTCCCCTCTCTTCTTTCCTGTACCATCACATGAGCAGAACTCCTCCCAGGAGAAGCTTCTACCAGTGGAAGCCAAGAAGCATAGGAACAGCCTTGAAGCATGAGATAGGCATATGAGAAGACTGCACATTTTTCTTACCACTTTAAAAGCCCTGGCAGGTGCTGGTAAAGAACTAGTTTCTTCCAAATATTTCTCCCAAGAAAAATGCTTGGCATGTGGATAGTCTGGAAAATAAATGATGATACAAGATGTAATTATGTCACGCAACACAGAATAAGGATATTTTTCAGGACTTGTTAGGTTTAAAGAAGCAACAGAAGAATATATAAATGTGCTTGCACTCCTTCTGCCACCCTGCAACGCAAAATATGAATAATGGGACTTGTCAGCCTCCCTGTGGACAGAGACCCAAGCTCCCGAAGCCATCTCTATCATATCTCACCTTGAGAAGACCCACATCTATTTTTCATATTATTTCACCCCTTCTATCTAGTTTTCAGAGGATGTGTATGTTTTACTCTAATGTGTGTTGTCGTACAGTTAAAACACAACATAGTCAAAGAGAAGCTCCTGAACTTTAAATATGATTAAAAAGTTAGGGTAGAAGTAAGCCTCTGGCGGCCCTCAGTAACAATTATTTTAAGGATTCTGAGCAGATCAGAGTCCTGCAGTTATGAATAAATAAATGAACATTTAATCCTCACACGGTCCCAGTCACCTTTCTCCTCTACACATTTTCTAATCCTACTTTTGCTTGTTCCTCGGTTGTTCGCCTAACAACTATCTGCATAAGGCCAACTATTTACCTGTCTGTGTGCTTCTCCCATATCTCATATTCCTTCGGACTATCTCTTCATATTTTTCCTGTTCTTTTTAAACTACATCATTTCAGTGTCTACCCATTCACTTCCTTCAATACCCTTCCTTTTCTGCATTATTTCCTTCAGCCTTCATTTGCTTTCTTGGCTCTTCTTTCACTACCCCCTTCTTCTTTCCTTGGCCCTCTGCTGCTTCATGCCACTTCCTCTTCCAGAGGTGGGGCCCTTTTTATAGAGTGGACACTAGGACACCACCAAGCGGTTGCCATCTTCCAATCACTTGAGGCAGGACAAAAGTCTTTACTCCAAAGAATCTCTTGAGTCACCCCTCCCTTAACGTGAAGGGCAGTTACTCATGTTACTGTAAAGACAGGCTTCAAAAATGGTTTGAAAGCTAACACACTGTGTCGACCGGCTTAGACTTTTGTCATGCATGATGTCAGGGCTGCCCAGCATCAGGTCCCCACTCCTTCTACATGTGATTGAACATCCCGAAAAGGACTTCAGTAACATCAGAATAGTTCGTTCAGTCAAGACAGGTGGCTTCATTACAACTATAGATTTAAAAATAAGAGCACTCCACTTATTAGAATCTAAGGTATAAAATAGACTGGAATTATTAGAATACATAAAGAACCGAAAGTGTCAAAATTCTGCTGTGACTCTGAGCATCTAAGCATCGAAAACTAAAAGACCTGTGCATTCCAGCTCTTAACGTTTTACTGAGTCAAGTACTAATCTGAACCTTTAGGAGTTACACATCAGCTTTAAATGCAGATAGTCCCCTGCCTAGCCAGTAATATCTTAGCAAAGCTGCTTTTTAGACAAAATTTCCACCAACACTGTAAATGCAGAATATAGCTTCATACTGGCTACTATCATGGGGGAAAATATTGTCACTGTGGGAAAGCCAATTTGAGTTTTCTCTGTTTATAAAATGCATACTGTTAAAAGGTAACAGCTTACAAAGCATTACTTTTCCAAGTGACTCATAATATGGTAGTGAATTACACCATCACTCTGTGTGGGCTATTTTACAAAACTCTCTACTAGCAAGCTACAATTACATCACTTGCAGGTTCAATATTTATAGTACATTTAAGAAGATTTTCATGCTCTAATTTCATAGCTCCAAGGTATTATTCATGATTTCCACAGTTTATTGATTCTCATCTGCTAGCTATTACCGTTTTCTGTAACACATTTTCTCTTTTGCATGGTAGTCTTTTCACTTTATTCACATAATGGCTTACATGAGCTCCCTATTCTGTTAAAATTCAGCACAATTAAGGGTTATAGTCAATGGTAGCTCAGCAGTAGAGCATCTGAGGTCCTGGTCTCAGTCTCCAGCTTCTCCAGCCAGTCGGTCTAGACAATACAGTCGTACCTCAGAAGTCGAACGGCATCCATTCCGGAAGTCTGTTTGACTTCCAAAACGTTCGGAAGCCGCACCGGACATTCAGGTTCCAAAGAACGTTTGCAAACCAGGAAAGTCACTTCCGGGTTTGCAGCATTCGGGAGCCAAAGCATACGAGTGCCAAGGCGTTCGGCTTCCAAGGAACTACTGTATTGAGCTAGATGGACCAATACGCTTACTCAATATAAGGCAGCTGCCCACTATGTCCCTAAGTTGCTATTGGAAGAAAGGCAAGAATCAGGTGCCCTGATTTGTGTGAGTTGAAGCACTGTCTGTCAAAACAAAGCCACTTCTGGATGTTCCTCTAAAATCTTAAGTACTTTAAGGATGATCAGGATTTCACCTTTTCCAGTATACATGATATTCTGGCATAAATTTTTATTCTCTGCCTTCTCCCGTTATTGTCCCTGCAAGCTCACTTTTAAAGTGAGAGGATTTTTACTCTAAGTAATCCTACATTACAATTTCTAGTCTTGTGAAATAAAGTTGTGCACAGACGTGCTCTTTCATACAGACCTCGAGGGGTTACAAGGGTCTTTCTGTGCTCTTTACACCAGCCAACTGGATGAATATGTGGACTAGCCGCTTCACACCTGCAGGAGAAATGTTGATTTAGTTAGATTTCATTTCTATAAATGTCTTAAACAGCTTTCTAGGGTCTGTCTAAAGCAGCTTATGGTCAACAGAGATCTAGGCTGCCTGTAAACAGAAATGCTAGACAAGCTCCGGAGCTCTAGGAAATAGCCTCTCAAAGGAATTTTGTCTGAGCACATCAATTTTTGGCCTAAAACATTCAGCTAAAGAATTGGTCCAGCCTTACAAACCATTCAGAAATTACCCAGTGAAAAATGGTTACCTGCGAACACAATCCTAAGACACTAATATATGACCCAAAAAGGAAGGCGGGGGGGGGGGGAGAGAATAAAGTGCACTGATTTTATTCACCGTAAGTTAACTATTTGAGTGGCTAGTTACAAGCTTACATTTTGTAGCTTTTCTGTTCTTCCAATGTGTATGTCTGAAGATGTTTTTAGATGCTGTGAGTTGCATATGCAAGCATATGGAGGAGAAGCAAACATTTAAGCCAATAAAATACAAACTGTGCAAATTGTTCTATTGTGGTAGAACTAGCTCTCTAGTTCAGTAAGATTGATAGGCAACTCTACAGAATCCTGTCTGAAGACTCTGGCATAATGTATATATGCTTATGAACCTTTCTTCTTTTCTGAAAAAGAGCTCTCTCATTTGTAAAGCACTTGTATTACCATGAGCCCCTGAATTGTAAGTAATCAGGTAATAACAGTATTTCAACAGTTTGAAAAAATAATGATTCATAGCTGCATTATAACAAAATGGAAAGGGTATAGAGACAGAAATTCCTTTAAATATATATACTGTTCTGAATACTGGTCTTGCTGAAGAGGAATCACTCTAATAATACACAAGTCATCTTATAGCACCATCTAGTGCTCAGATGTCAAACTCACTGTGAACATATGTCAAGTTAATTTAAGGAAATGCTGAAATATCATATGTTGCTCTACTCTATGAAGAGGTGGTTCTTCCCTTCTCACAGCCCACCTAAGCATTTCTGAGTATCCTGAAGGCTTTTGAGAGTAACAACTTATTTTTTTAACCTAAAGTAAGCTTCTAGCATCCACATAATTAAAACAAAAACCCATTCATCTCATTTACGTTTTTCAACTCTCACATTTAATAAAATAGCAAACAATTTAAAAAATACTTATAGACTGTGAGCAAAAGGAGAGCAACATAAAAGCTGAGGTAAGAACTACATGTTACAAATCTGCGATTCTTTCCCTCACTCAATAGCCAAGCTGCTTTAATTTCCAATAAGTAAAAGATTCATATATTTTACCTTTAGGAATAAACAGCCGTACCTACCCGTATTCCATTCAGTCTGAAGACACTTTTCCCTGACAAAAGTTTGTTTACATTCGTTTTTCTTGACAAAATTTTGGGGGATGGGAAGGTATATCATGCTTAAGGCAGCTGAGGTAGCTCAATCAGCTTAATATCAATGTCATAGGTTCGAGCCCCATGTTGGGCACAATTCCTGTTTTGCAGGGCGTTGGACTAAGGACCCTTCTGGCCCCTTCCAACCTTATGATTCTATTATTCCATGAAACATGAAATTCTGCTGTCAGATACTAGGTGTGGGAGCCACTCTCCTATGGATTCATCCCAGTGTAGCTGTAACTTTTTAAAGGACCACATTATTTATTTGAAGGTCTACCTACATCCCTGTGAGTCTGCCCAGCTCTAAGATTAGTATCTGGGGCCTTGCTAGCTGGCCTGCCCATTACAGTCTACCAGAGTGGCAGGCACTATAGGCGGGGCCTTCTGGTGGCAGCCCTGAGCCTTTAGCACTCCCAAGACAAATACAGCATAAAATGCCCTATCGTTTTAAAATGGACCATAAAATCATTTCTGTTTCAATATGCATTTTAATAAGTTTGTTCTGAGCTTGGCTTCAAAAACTTGTTTTAAGCTGCTGACATTTCAATTTGGGAAATGGCTTTTTGTATTTGAAAAACTGTATTATGGCATTTAAATTGTGTTTTGCCAGCTGCCTTGAGAGGGCTCTGCTCTGAAAGACTGCATATAAATACCTTAGGGGGGAAAATGAGTGAAAAGGTCTGCAACCGTGGGTGTTGGGTCAATCACAACTTCATGTTTGGGAGCCTGTGCCACTGGGCCCACCTGCATGGCTCCAAGCTCTTTAAAACGTACAGCCCTGCCAAGGGATGCACCCCTGGGAAACATGATGCTGCTGTAATGTTTAAAAGGTGCCCATATCCCATTTAAAATCAATGAGACAAGCTAGTCAAACTCAAATCCCAGCGCTTTCAACAGAACTTGAATGCAGCAGGTCCACAATGTTTAATGCCGAAGGGATCAAGCAGCAGCTTTAAACAACCTCCCTGTGTCTTCAGAAAAGGTTCTTTTTCTTCTGTTCCAGGGTATATTTTCTTTTTTCTGCTTTATCTTCAGTTTCTTTGCCCTTTGACATTCTGCAGTTTTATTCTGCCTTTGCTCTCAAGCTCTCCTAGCAACCAACCCCACCTCCTTAAGCAAGTCGGCCTCACACTTAAACATGAATGACTAGCTCAAGAGTATCAAAAAACATGTTAAAAGCAAAGCAATGGTCACCCGTTTCTGTGGCCAAGCATTGGGACAGCATTCATTCACAAAAGGAGATGGAAGGTTTCATGGCCTAAACATCAGACTACAGTGGTACCTCGGGTTACAGATGTTTCAGGTTACAGACTCTGCTAACCCAGAAATAGTACCTCTGGTTAAGAACTTTGCTTCAGGATGAGAACAGAAATCGAGCGACGGCGGCACAGCAGCAGCAGGAGGCCCCATTAGCTAAAGTGGTACCTCAGGTTAAGAACAGTTTCAGGTTAAGAACGGACCTCCAGAACAAATTAAGTTCTTAATCTGAGGTACCACTGTATTATTAGACTTCCATGTGAAAAGGCCCGCAATCTGCATATCCAGTTTAAAAATCAAAATGTTCACATGTGCCCTTACCAAAGCAGAACAAATGTAAACCATGGCCTGCGTCACATGACAGGGAAGTCAAATTATGGCTTTTTAGAATGGTACAAATGTGCTGCCTCCTGAGAAGTGATCACAGCCACTTTGCTCCTTGGCTTAGTGACTGTGCTGAAAGGCTTGGAGAGGAGCAAAGCAGCTGAAATTACTTTCCCTGGCAGTCTGCACATTTGCATGAAGCCAAGGTTTGGCTTAGTGTCATGTGCAAACACGGCCAATGAGAGAAACAATAGTGCCTCAATTTGAAAACCAATCTAAGGAAGATTTATGGAGAACTCAAACGCTTGTTCGCTATTTCTTTTCTTTTTTAAAAAATAAAATATTAATGATTTTCTTGGTTTACAAAAGTGCGTGCATTGTCTCTTCTTTCGTGTTGTAAAGTCTTCTACAGATCAGTTACATTTGTTATGAGATGTTAGTGTTGAGTATAGTATAAGGTCAGGGGAAAAGAGTGGGGGGGAGGAGGGGTGGGGGGGAGAAATTTATATTCTTTTTTATAGTGTACGTGTGGGGTTTTGTGTCAGCGTCAGCTGGGTAGGTTCTCTTTCTATTCGCTTGATACATTTCTTGCACACTATTTCTGAGTCTTTGCCTCTAGTAAAGTTATTGTTCAACTGTGCATTTTGACATTTTTCTGATGGACCAACAGCATTTCCTATGCTTTTTACACTACAACGTGGTATCCTTTAATTGAACGTTTAAGCCAAAGCTTTATAAAAGCATAATGACAGTTCTGCAGACGAAGTATAATGGAACTACCATTGACCTGCTTATTGGTTTGCAGATCCAATTTCTTTTGATGATCGTTTAATAAGATCTTGAGAAAATTTAATTTATTTATATGAATGTTTATACACTGCCAACTAATAAAAAAGAGTATTGTGACAGTGTACAATAACATCATTAAAACATCATAAAATTAGATAATTAGGTAATAAAATAAAGGACAAATGACCAACACTGAATGAAATTAAAACGCTAAAAATGCTTTGTGGAATGTTTTCAGCATCAGAATTGTGGGTGTCTCTCTGAATTCAATAGGAACATTGTTCCAAAATTCTGGCTGACACTATGCTAAAATCCTTAGTTCCTGAGAGGATGCTCTTCCTAAGTAACCAGCTCAGCTAATTTCACTGATCAGTGGTGTATGTGAGAGCAAACTATTTTTCTGGCAGACAGCTTTTTGCCACTTAATGTGCAACTGTCATCCATATTGTTGGTGTTGTCACTATGCTAGAAGGAATGCTCTCTGTGTAATATTCCACAGCTGGCCTTGTCTATGTTAGCAACTTTCGTTCTCCTCATGAGCAGCACATGCAAGGGCAATGTTGCTGGAAAGATTAGGAAGGAGGGAAGGTTTGAGAACCTGTGACCTTTTCACCTGGCAGAGAACTTCTCGAATGGCTTTTCCATTTGGGCCCTTGCAAAAAGAGTTCTGTGCAGCATTTTGAAGTCCTGACAAACAGCTGATTGTTGAGGCTTCAAAGCACCACTTTGCATGATGTTAATGGCTGGGGACTAGGAGATATAAAGATCTGGCTAAGCGGCCATATCCAGTTCCCCACCCACAGCAAAGAACTAAGAAATTCAAACACTAACAGCACTTGCAAACTTTTATATGGGGGGGGGGATTCACACACTAATCAGACCATGGAATACTTTGCATCTTTCAACTACAGTGGTACCTCGGTTTAAGAACAGCCCTATTTACGAACTATTTGGTATACAAACTTCGCAAAACCGGAAGTAATGTTCTGGTAAGCGAACTTTACCTTGGTCTATGAACGGAAGCTGAATGGCGGAAGGGCACCGGCGGCAGGAGGCCTCATTAGGGACAGCATGCCTCGATTTAAGAATGGCTTTGGTTTAAGAACAGACTTCTGGAACGGATTAAGTTTGTAAACCGAGGTACCACTGTATTGTCAAAAATCTAGGGACATCTTAATGAAATATAGGCACTACTGTTCATAGCAACCATGGGCGGGGGAGTGAAAACAACAAATTAACAAGGTAGAATTTTGGGGATGCTTATTATTCCAACAAACAAGCTATTTAAAAAGGCATACCAGTAGTCATAACTCTCATCCCAGTTGTCAAAATGAACCAGAAAACGACTGTCCACAATGTCAGTTACTGTAGCAACACAAATGAATGCAGGGTTCTTTTTGTCTACTGCTTCAAGCTTCATCCCCACTCGAAACCCTGATGGAATCACTGTCTAATCAAGGAAAAGTTCAAAATTAACAATGAACAGAGAACTGGTCTATTTAAGTACCTAAAGCACTATATAAAAGAAATAAAGAAATGCAGATTAATAATAATAAACCATGCATCCAAAAGTCTCTTGACTATCCACAATCAATCCACAATCTTGCTACTAAAAAGAAGAGTCCCAGCAGTATGGATGAGCCAGTAATTCACATGAAAGTGGCAGAATAAAACAATTTTCAGCATCATGCTTTATCATATATTAATCTTTTTTAAAAATTCTTAACTATTACGCCCTGTCCATTTTGGAATGACAAAAAGAAAGAGATTTACTGGCCATTTGTGGTTTTGTGCTGCCTGAACAGGTGATGGATACAAGCCACTGTTTACAGTAGCTGCTCCTGATCTGTGCACACTTTGTAAGCCTGTTGTCTATTTCACCTCACCAAGTATTACATACACATTTGATACAAACCTGTCGGAAAATAGTAATCTGTATCACCCAGGACCTATCTAGTTGTTTTGAGTGCAATCTGTGGACTGTGTTACTATGGATCAACAGCTTCACATAAGATTGTCTTGGATATAGGATGAACTATCTCCCTCAACATAAGGAAATAGTTTGAATTTCACCATGGAAAACAGGCAGGGATTGACGGGTGTGAACCCAAATCTTTATTTACTTGGGCCTTTTCCCTTGTTTTAGACTAAGGGTTTGAGTCATAATACTAATGAAAAACAATGTAAGCATAATATAAAAAGCTACTATCAGCAAAGAAGCAGGGATAATGAGAGAAAACTCACTGCGTTTTGGTTTTCAAACAAGGATTTAGGAGCAGCTTGAGCCTTACATTTCTTCAGATACGAGGGCCAATTAAATTCATCTTCTTTATATCCTAAAGAAACCCATGAAAAGGAAGGAGATAAAATGCCATACCTATTAAACTTGTGGCGCACTTGTGTCAACTGCAGTCACACCTGTTAGCACAGTACCTCAGTTTCACTCTGCCAAATCATTCAATCCCAGAATTAAGTGGAAAACAGAGACTGTTTCTTGCAATTTGCTGATTTGACTGGAGGGCATTCAGTCTTGAGGATGATGCCTCCTACTGGACTTGATAGGAAGACTCTATCTTCCCCTTCTAGAGAGAGGAATTATCCCACCCTCCAGATCAACTGGCAGAGCAGAAAACAACTTCTCATCCCCAAATAAGCAAAACTAAAAAACTGGAACCAGAGCTATTCAAAGAGGAAACAATAAAAGAAACAGTAGGGTCAAGGTGGGGGCAATATTTCAATGGCTGCTGAGAACAAGGGGTTGGAATGAAGCAATCACATGGCAATTGCTCAAACGTCAGGGCACAGCCCTTCAACACCATCTCAATCACCCACCTGTCTAAGGTGACGTAATTCCAATGGTAAGGAAAAGAAGGAGCTAGGCCTCCACTGGAGACAGCTCCTGACAGCGGGTGTAGTTAAGACTGAGGATTTCTTTCTGCCCTCTGGAACCAAGCAGTGGCAAAATCTGACACAGAAGCGTATCCCCCATTTAAGTATGTAGGGCTGGTAACCTCTTGGAGAGGGAAAACTACCCTAAAGGATAAGAAACGTGGGGTTGCTTGGTTTTGTCCCGCAACTCTGTAAGATGAGCCTCAAGTGCCTTGACAAACAGCTTGGTCCTTGAGAGAGGCAAGGATGTGCCTGCAAACTGGAACTAACAACTCACTGCTGCAACCCCACATTTCTATGCACAATGGTGGTGGAAGCCATATGAGGCCCTACATTTAAAAACATCAAAGAAGGTGCCAGGTGCCAGCGCAGAGTAGTAGAAGTATATTTTCTTAAATCTATTCTTAACTGCCTGGGGGATATCATCCCTGGCATTCAGCTCCTCCACTCACATAAAGCCTGAGGAAAAAAGGGAAGCTGTGGTTGCTGACTTGAATGCCACTGCACCTGCTTCAAAACTCCTATGAAGGGCCCTTTCCACCCTTCTGCCACAGCGATCATTTACAGGAGGATATACAACCAGAAAATGCAATCGCTGCATCATGCCACCTGCGAAGGTATAATGTGCTTTGCAATCTTAATCACTAATTTAGTCTTGTCCAGTTTGTTCCACTCTGCTTTCCACGTAGTACAGGTCTATTGTGAAAAAGTGACCCTGGGAGGGGTGGCGAAACACGTGGGGAGAGCCTTTAGAGTGCCCACCACCCTAGAGTGTGACTCAGAAGATGCCAAGGGCTCTCTCTCCTCAGTTAGCTGGAGGGCCTTATGAGCCTCCAGCCTAATCTGGCAAAATGTAACTTTAAAATTATTCCTGTAGTTGGGAATGCAAAAGCTTCTACTGAAAGCTCTACTGAGACAAAAAAATTAAAGCTAAGCCACAGTCATCCGTTTTCTAGTAAAGAGATGAAGTACCTAGATACTATTTACAGACAATGCACACTTATGAATTCTGTTCAGCTCTTATAAGTGAACAAGATACATGTCTGGGATTTATCATCTTCTCAAAGAACAAAAGGAAGTTGGAACCCTTAGGTTATTTGTTAAGTATGGTTTGCAGTTCTGGTCCAGAGGAACCTTACTTACAGTTTCATTTCAATGGCATCCTGTGATGTCCATGAAAAGTGCAAGTAACAGATTAAAACAAGAGTGTGCAGTTAGGCCGCATTACGTACAAGTTTCATTAATATAATGCCAAAGCATGTTTTAGCATTATATATGGTCAACCCACTGTGTCTAAGACTGTTGATACCCACTTAGCCAGGATTAAACCCCATTGAACCTGGGATTAAATCAACTGAGTGGACACCTATTTTGATGCATTATAAAGCAACTCTGTTAGACCTATAACAAAACTGCATATATGCTTAACTGGAGGATTCCACTCTTAAATAAGTCTCTATATAAAAAAAACCCAGTCTGATTTACAAATTATTATTCTTTCAGAAGCAAATTCCTGATTGTAGGAATTTGGGTTCTAACTTGGGTGGCCTGATACACTTTGTTTTTCCACCATCATTTTTGCCACTGTTTTTTCTGTGTGTCTTAAAAATTCCTTTAGATGCTTACTCTTACGTCCCACTCTGTTCGATGAAGCTTAGTCCCAAGTGCATTTGGACTTTAGCTTGAACTGCAGCATAATGCTCCATAAATCCTATTGCTTTACAAAACAGAGCTTATTGTTCCTAACAGGTTCTCATGAATAGATAGCTATGAAGTTCAGAAATCAGCTCAAAGGCATCCAACGGAAATGATAAATTTACCCATCTGAACGACGTCTACTCATTCAGACCTACGGGCGGTATAAGAAATACTATTAGATCTCCTTGTCCAGATTTATCCCTCAAAGAGAACAGCAATTGGACAGTAGCAATCCTAGAAGCAGGGTGGGGTGGGGCTGCTTACCTGCCTTCGTAACTCCATGGGTAACCAGTAGTGATCCTGAATACAATGTCACTCAATAGACAGAGAGCCACCATACACAGGCGTTTTAGTACCCAGCGTGAGAAGCACATCTCAGCAATTGTCTAATATGACACAGGGTTTTTTTTGTTGGTAATCTAATACCTTTCGGTGGATGAAGTTTGTGTCCTGTTTTCTCGCACCAACCAACTGGGTGAATATCAGAAGAATCAGCATTCCGCCAAAAATCGTAACACTCTGGGTATTCATCAAAGTGAAGTCTAATTCTGTAACCACAAGTCTAAATCCATAGTAGGAAGAAAGAATACAGCAAAGGAAAAATGTGTTTACATTTAAACCAAAAAGTCAGTATTAGAAAATTGGTATACGTGCAGTCAGAATCAAAGTGTTCTCAAACAAAATGTTGTAGCTTTTTATGAGATAACTTTACTTATTATCCTGAAAAGGGAAGCAATCAGAAGACATAGACACAATAGAAAAACAGATAGTAAGGTAGTATATGCACACTAGTCCACATGTGCATCAGGGTATATTGGGCATACAGATGGTATATAAATGAGAATGCTGGTATTTCTTTTCAACACTACCTTTTAAACACTATCTTCTATTTTCTACCTCTCTTGATACTAGAATGCAGTGAAGTTGACTGATGGGAGATTCAGCACAGATAAAAGGAAGTACTTTTTCACACAACACGTAATTAAAACTATGGAATTTGGTACCAAAAGGTGAGGTGATGGCCACCAGCTTTTATGGTGTTATTTCTAATCCCATTTTAAAGCTATTAATAACTGTTTGTCACTTCTGGTACTCACCTCAGCTACTGTAAGCACACAGTACATTGACTGGTGCTCAGGGTCCACTCCTTCTAGTTTCATTCCAACTTTGAATCCATTTTTGTTGTATGGGAAGGATTGATACTGGAAGAAAAAAATGTCAAATTTCTAAGTTTAGCATGAACATTTCTAAAAGATAGCCAATGATTTTAAGGGGATGTGGCTCTCAGTCCTTCCAATGAACAGATCAAACTATTACTTATTTAAAACAAACCTACATAGAAGTTAAAAAATGCTTTATAATTTTGATAAATATAAAAAACTGTATTATAAATATGGGTCTCAGTCTGCCATGGATGTTCCCTGTAGCAGTTTCTCTCTCACATTCCAAGTCCATATTAAAAACTGCTGTGTATGTTGCTGATAGGAGTCCTTTTGCAATCACATGGGTTCAGATATTAAGGGAACGCAACATCCACAAAAGCCACTCACTCTTGTACACATCTTATTGTGTCCCTTCCTGTCTGTACAACTGATATAGGGAACTCTGGGTCAGACAGAAGTGTTTGATTGATTTAATTTATTTCCACAGTGAGCTGTGCCCAATGAAAATATGGAAGAAGTCCGGTGGCAGTGTGAGAAACCTGTACCATGACTGTACCAAACTTCTACCTCTGGACTCCTTAAACTTCTAAACAGATAACTAAAGTGCAAAGCAGTGATAATGTTCCCATGAACTAAACAAAATAAATTGAAGTTGAATAGATTATCTATGTAACTTTTCCAAGGAGGATATCAAAAACAGGATTTTAGATTCCCACTGGTTCCTGCTTATCCCTGGAAAAAGTACAAGAATTAATGACATCTGACATAACTTTTCCATGTGCATCCTGCCTCATTCTCATTGTTGTTTGCTGCAATAAAAATGGACTGAAACGCTGCAAAACCTTTGGGCTGATGCAGAAATATTCTTATCCTCCATTAAGAAGTTGTGCGAAGGCCGCTGATGCACTGAATTCCCCCAGTCTTCCTGCCCATCTCTAGAATCCAAAATCCCTCCACTGTTCCTCTTTCAGTTTTAATTTCTGCCAAGTGCTATCTCAGCTTCAATATTAGCTGTTGTTAGAGATAATCAACTAACCAGAATTAGAAACTACTGCAATAATAAAAATGGAACTGCAGTTAAAGCTTCCCTACAGATGTAACAGTTCGAAAGCACGTCAAAGTGCAAGTAGATAAACAGGTACCGCTCCGGCAGGAAGGTAAACGGCGTTTCCGTGCGCTGCTCTGGTTCGCCAGAAGCGGCTTAGTCATGCTGGCCACGACCCGGAAGCTGTACACCGGCTCCCTTGGCCAATAAAGCAAGATGAGCACTGCAACCCCAGAGTGGGCCACGACTGGACCTAATGGTCAGGGGTCCCATTACCTTTACCTTCACAAATGCAACGAAGTACCCTACAGATGTAACAAAGTACCCAACAAGTAACAAAGGCAACAAATATTCTAGGCTGCTTCAACAGTATACCGTGCACATCAAGAGAAGTAACAGTACTGCTCTATTCTGCCTTAGTCAGACCACACTTGGGAGCACTGTGTCCAGTTCTGGGTGCCACAGTTTAAGAAGGATATTAACAAGCTTGAACTTGTGCAGAGGAAGGCAACAAAGATGATCAAGGGTCTAGAAACCAATCCTTATGAGGAACAGTTGAGGAATTTGGGTATCTTTAACCTGGATAAGAGGAGAGTGAGAGAAGATATGATAGCCATGAAGAAAGCTTGTTTTCCTCCTGAACTGGAGGGCAGGACCCAAACCAATGGATTCAAGTTATAAGAAAGGAGATTCCAACTTAACATCAGGAAGAACTTTCTGATAGTAAGAGCTGCTTGACAATGGAACAGACTCCCTTGAAATGTGGTGGACTCTCCTCCATTGGAGGTTTTTAAGCAGAGGTTGGTCACCTGTCATGGATGCTATAGTAGAGACACCTGCATTATGTCAAAATATGGGTGATCTGTATGAACTCAACTGCATACAAGATTGCAGCACTAGATAAATTTTACATTGTTCATTGCTACCCAGATTCTTTAATAAATCTGTCACATAAAACACTTCCAAAATGGGGAAAATTTATGCACCCAAGCTCCATCATACCACATACAGAAGAAAGCACAGGCAATACATACAAGTCATTTTCACCTTTGTTTCTTCCAGATAGCATATTAGTAGCAATATATTTATATCCCACTTTTCTATAGTTACACACCCAAAATAACATTAAAAAGCAAATATAAATACATAACCTTAACAATAAAACACAATACTTACATTTAAAGCAGCAGTTCAGCACTATATATAATAAAGCTGTTTAGAAACTGAGTCAGCAATACGATCAGTCAACCAACCATTACAAGCTTACTGAAACAAATTGGTTTTCAGCAATATCTAAAAGAACGCGATAAAAGGCCAAATGCACCTCAGTTGCAAGGGCATTCCAGAGTTTCAGTGTAACCACTGAAAAAGTTATATCTCTCTTAACCATCCATGAGAGAATTTTTTTGAGAAGACCTAATCTCAGCTCATTACAAGACAAATTAAACACACACTAATGCAATTACCAATTGAATATTTACCATGTAAAACATCATATCATCATCATCGACTTTTATTGCGCTAGCCAGAGGCCATGGCATCATTCAGAAAAATAACAAAAGGAAAAACAGAAATAACCATAAAAATCATCAGGCACCACACATACAATATAAACCACGGTCACAACTACGAGAATAGAAGATTCTCTAGTAAAATGTGCCAAATTAAATATCTGAATACCCTTTGCAGTTGACCGCTATTTTATCTAGTTCTTCCCTCCTGATCTTCTTAGCTGCCAACGCAGTGCTACTTTTATAAGTTAACAAGTCATCAGTATCACTCAGCAGCCATTTCACCCTTTCCACCCTATTCAAGTGAGTTCCATTGGGAAACAGGGGTTTTATGAATCTGTCTCTTGGGTCTATATATAACGGACACTGCAATAAATAGTGGCACAGGTCCTCCACACAGGATTGCCCACACAGACGAAGTCTCTCTTCATAATGTACTTTGCCGTAGCGTTCATCCAACACCGCCGAGGGCATCAATTGGAATCATAATTCTGTGAAAGCGATTCTAAGCACGGCAAGTGGGAGCTTTGACAGGTAACTGGACCGGATATGCTCTGTTTTAATAAGTGGGAACCATGGCAAACTCTTGGTAGAAGCCATCATGGTTCAATCCCTTTCTGCATCGGACCTAAAGAGACAACCTCTTAAGTGCCTCTTGTCCATCTCCATAAGTAAAGGTAAGGTAAAGGTACCCCTGCCCGTAAGGGCCAGTCTTGACAGACTCTGGGGTTGTGCGCCCATCTCACTCAAGAGGCCGGGGGCCAGCGCTGTCCGCAGACACTTCCGGGTCACGTGGCCAGCGTGACATCGCTGCTCTGGCGAGCCAGAGCCGCACACGGAAACGCCGTTTACCTTCCCGCTAGTAAGCGGTCCCTATTTATCTACTTGCACCCGGGGGTGCTTTCGAACTGCTAGGTTGGCAGGCGCTGGGACTGAGCAACGGGAGCGCACCCCGCCGCAGGGATTCGAACCGCCGACCTTTCGATCGGCAAGCCCTAGGCGCTGAGGTTTTACCCACAGCGCCACCCGCGTCCCCCCAAGCGCCACCCGCGTCCCCCCGTCCATCTCCATAGTCACCTGAAAATCTTATAATTGATATTGGGACAAGAGGCGCTGGATACTGTCCTTCCAACATTTGGTCTGTTTCTGTTCTGTGTGTGACATAGCGGTGAGTCTCTCCGAAAGAAATTGAAGTATTTTCATATAATTTAAGCACAGGTAATCAATTCTAGCCTATATCGTTATCACATCAGCTTCAACGCAGAGAAGAGCAGCTGGAGTCCCATTGGGGAGAGAGAGCACTTTCCTGAGGCATTTGTTCTGCACTCTTTCTAAGGCTTTGTTGGCATTTGGGTCCTTGCCCCATATCGCTACTCCATGAAGCATCTGGGAGACCACTTTACTGGCAAAGATTTTCAATGCAGGTTCCAATAGCTGACCACCCGCGGTAAAACAGAATTTCATTAACACCCCACAAGCTTTCTGTGCTTTGAGTTTCGTAGCCTCAATGTGCCCCTTCCATGATAGTGTCTCAGTGAAAAGAATACCCAGACATCTGAAGCAGCGTATTTGCTCCAAGTTCTGCTGATCCATTTTCCATTTGAATCTGGGACTACGCTTCCCAAAGACCATAATTTTGGTCTTGGAGCAATTCACGACAAGCTATTCCCGCTTGTAATACCTGCTGAAAGCTGTAAGCAAACTGTTAAGACCTAATCGGGAGAGTGATAGGAGCACCACATCTTTGGTGTACAGCAGGCAAGATATCTTCCTATTACAAATTGATAGGGTGGGGGATTCCACCTGTGCTAGCTGTGGCACCATATAATTTATATAAAAGTTAAAAGGTGTGGGAGCCAGTATGCAGTCATATTATACGTGAACTGTTTTAAAGTTTCATAAGCAAGCAAGCAAGCTAAAATGGTCATGCCAACCATTTCAAACTTCTTCTATATTTGTACATGACACCTATTTTTTACCCGACACACAGGCCCCGTCTGCCTCAAAGAAGCAGTGTTTTAAGGTTTCAGCATACCTCTTTAAAGATCTTAGGTGGTGCTGCTATAGCCTTTTCTTCTTCCAAATACGAAGACCAACTCCATGTTTTCTTTGCCTTTGACATCAAAGCTGGAATTAGAAATTAAAATCTTAATGTAAGCACAGTCACAGCTTTGTACCAAATTATCTGCATAAGCAGTTGTATTATACTATCATTATGGTTGTAACGGTATAAATTACAGTTCTCTTACAGTATAATTCCATATGATTCAGATTTATGGTTAATTTCAGTGCTACTCCATTAAGGAGAAGACCAAAGCTACATTTTTCACACCGCTGATCAGCAGCTAGCAAAGATGGATGGCTATTGCCAAAGCAAAAATTACAGATCACACTGTAGAAAGCTATGGAGTTAACCGGTACTTCCTAATCCTGTTGTTTTCCTCAAATACATGTATCCACTTTGCTAACAATCTGACTCTGTGGCAATTGATTTATACTGCTTTAGGCATCTCCTAGGATTTATTTATTACTGGTTTCTATAAATCTATCTTAACTTTCAGCATGTGGTTTAGATATGAAATTACTCCCAGGAGACACCAAGCAGGGCCTCACTTCTGGTTTTAAAATGCGTGTTCTAAAGAACTATTTGAACAATTTCACATATGTGAGACACAGAAATCCTTGCCAGTATTCAAGCAATTCAATTATCTTAATCTCATTTATACTTCCACTTTAAAGCTCCCCCATGGAACAGTATAACAAAGTCAGAGCAGGAAGTTACTCAGCCAAGTAATAAAATGGAAGTATTTGGAAGGATGGTGCTCTTCAATCTCTTACTTTACAAAATGCACAATATTTGTTGCATACAACGTCACAAATGGATTAAGATTTAGACTAGTGACTGAAAATGGGCCAACCCAGCTTTTACAGAGAAACTAGAAATACACCAGCATTATTGTTATAGTAAAGGGCCAGTCTCTTCCAAAATGTGACTCATCATCCCAAAATTTTAGGTGTGCATCTAAGAGGTTTACATGCACACTGAAATACGTAGTTTACAAACATGCATATCATACCAAGGACAAATTGTCAGTGAGCAGGAATTGCCTATGGTTCCATTATGAGTGCACACTCAGTGTCCGACATGGGTTTGCTAACGTAACACAGAAGAGGCCCTTTAGATGGCAGAAACTGATGAAAACCTTATACTGATATGGACTCGCATATCAACTTACTCTGTTTTAGAACTGCCATCTCTCTTTTCCTTTTCCGTGTGGCTCTCTGAGAGACTCTTAGTATCCTCCCTTCAGGTTTCTCCTCCTAAATTGCAAAATTAAAGTATACTTCACTGAAGTAACTTTGAAGCACACTGATTTTCGAAATACTTTTTTCAGGTTGCTCGCTGCTGTTTTGTCATGTGTTCTCCAAGATATTACAGGGCAATCCTGTGAACATTTATTTGGAAGCAAGTCTATTCAGGTCAATGGGTCTGACTTCCTAATACGTGTGTTATATTAGAAGCTTATGAAATAAATGGAACAATAAGGTTTTAAAAAGGTCCTGAAATGTGTGCTAGGGAGGCTCATGCATGGAATACAGTCTTTGTCTGACGTACCCAGGAAAGACACATCCATTTTGTGCAGCAAAAAGAACTGTCTCCACCATCCATAACTGGCCCACTTTTTCTTTTCTTTTTTTAAGTTGAATTTCTGTCTCAGAGTGCCAGTGGAGAGAACCTGTCTATTTGTATTCATTCTGCTCAACCTTAGAAATAATTGATAATATAGTGGTGATATAGTGACTAGCAATGCTTTCATCCCACTGCCTGGAATCACTATAATAAAGAAGCATGGAACAGCATGATAACTCAATATACATTTTTTGTTATTTTAAACGTAAGAACAACAATGATAAAACAAGGTAACATAATGATTGACCTTGGTGGAGCTAATATTGAATACCAACCTGCTATACCAGAAAGGTTAGTTATCCCCCACAGGATAACAGTCAGACACCAGTGTCCGTAAAAGTCTTTTGAGCATTCCTAAAAGCTCTGGGGGGACGTGGGTGGCGCTGTGGGTAAAAGCCTCAGCGCCTAGGGCTTGCCGATCGAAAGGTCGGCGGTTCGAATCCCCGTGGCAGGGTGCGCTCCCGTTGTTTGGTCCCAGCGCCTGCCAACCTAGCAGTTCGAAAGCACCCCCGGGTGCAAGTAGATAAATAGGGACCGCTTACTAGCGGGAAGGTAAACGGCGTTTCCGTGTGCGGCTCTGGCTCGCCAGAGCAGCGATGTCACGCTGGCCACGTGGCCCGGAAGTGTCTCCGGACAGCGCTGGCCCCCGGCCTCTTGAGTGAGATGGGCGCACAACCCCAGAGTCTGTCAAGACTGGCCCGTACGGGCAGGGGTACCTTTACCTTTACCTTTAAAAGCTCTGGGAGTGTGCAGCAGCTCAAATAAATGCCTAGAGTCTATGGAAGGAAACTTGCCTTTCTTTTCAAAACTCCCAGGCAACACTTGACCAACCTTAGGACACCAAAATATAAGGTTGGATCAGGCACAGCCGCCATAATCTCACCAGGACACTCACATATTTAAATGACTATTTAAATAGAAAAAAGCATTCCATTTACATTTGCTAAACATTTCAAACACTCCAACCTTAAAAGCACAGAGTCATTTAAATGCATAAAGTTTTTGAATGACTGTAAATTGCCAAAACTATATTTACAACCACAGATCAGTTTAACCTAGAAACTTGTCAACTGAACCATACTAACCATTGCCTCATACTTCTTGACATTGTCTTCCATACATTCTCCTTTTGAGGGCGATTTGGTTTTTCTTTTTTGAGTGCCCTTGGAACAGTCCTCATCATTGACTTCCGATACATTGTTGTCCTCCCTTTGCTCTCTAGAATGAAAACAAAATAACAGGAGCTATATTAATTGTGATTTTGAAGAATACATTTTCTAAAGCCAAGTTTGTCTATCTCTTAAAGTTGTTGTTTTTTTTTTAAAAAAAAGAGGAATTGCAAGTGCAAAAAAAAAGTATTTATAAACACCACAATTAATGCAAGCATACAATAAGCAGTCATTCACGATACGGCAAGTTCTTTTAAACTGCAGCACTCTTTACACTAGTTATCACATTATTCACACATGTCAACTCTTACTTGTTTTTAATCTGATGTGCACATTTTTGGCTGCAAGATCTTTCTCCAGCTACAAAGTCCACTGTGGTTCCAGAATGAAAACAATGTTCACAGAAATGAGGCCCGTCAACCTTGCTAGCTTCCTTCAGTTTTTGTGGTACTTCTGTATTTTCTGAGAAGGCTATACAATGGAAAGCACAGCAAGTGTTTCAGGCTGTAAATGGTGAAAACTAGCAGGCATATTTGTAAACCACATGAAGCAAAAGATGCCACTGAAGGATATGACTTACCCAAGACTTGCCAAGAATGAAATTGGCACATTCGTTCATGCTACTTTGAAAAAGTGCTTCAGGCTTTTAAACAACTCTGTGCTAACATTTCCTCAACAGCAGTCTAACTAGTATAGTAACAACTATCATTTCTACCAAGTGGTTTGCAGGTTTCAGAATTTAATTTGTTACAATATTAGCTATCTTTCAATATTCCAGAGCAGAAGCTAATATTAAAGAAAATGTCAGGAACAGCGTCATAGTAAAACTTTAAGAATACCACCATTTTGTTCTGAAGACAGAAATTTGTCTTATCATGATTTATCATGATTCTGACCTTCTTGAGCAGTTGGCACCATCCAGGTTGTGGTAGCTGTAGCCTTCTTAACACTTTCCATCTCTGTTTCATCGGTGATTACTTCTAGGGCACCAAACTCATTCACACGAAACTAATTTTAAAAACAGTTAAGAATTAGAGGGGGGGAATGTTGCTAGAAAGGTAAAGATCTATTGATGTATAATGGTTTGACACCTAATAGTTGACAGCCTCCATAATGCCTATTGACACCACTTGGTTAAAAAAGAGAGAAAAGTAAACAGACATTTCTACATTTCACCTCTGCAGGAGCTTCCTTCACATCCATGTTAATGTATATTAGCAGACACATGAAAAGCTGGGGATAGGACGATATCTGTACCCATGGACCAAGACAGTAGCCTAAATTGCATGCTGCTGGTCAGGTCGGGTGCCCAAATGAGGCTCCCAAGAGGTATTTCTAAGGGAAACTTTTCTAGGGAAAGTGAAATCCTGAAGTATTACAAGATCTTGAAACAGAGAAGCAATGAATGGAGGTTGAGAACATTTTTCACAGTTTGGATAATCCATAATCACAGATCACAGCCAAGCAAACAAATCCTAAAAAGTTATAGTCCACCACAAATCTTTTTTACTAGCTTGTTTGCCACAAAATCATGTTTGTTAATCATCTACAGGCTCAGTGACAGTCTAAAAGAAATAAAGTATTGAACTCTCTCTTGTTTACATGAGATTCACTGCCTAACTCCCTGTCTTTGACATAAGCCAGAGCTTTCCAAACTGTGTGTCATGACAGGTTAGTGTGTCAGCTGCAGTGTGTAGGTGTGTCATGCAAACGCTCCCCACGCTCCTTCAAGGACTGGAAAGGGGTTGGTTTAACCTCCGGTTTGCTAGTAAAACTGAATTACTGTGTCGCAAAATGATGTAAAACTGAATTACCGTGTCACGAAATGATGCATGCCTAAAAAGTGTGTAACCAACATGCAAAGTTTGGAAAGCTCTGACACATGCAAACAGGCAAGTGGCTATTTACATGCCTGATCACAATCTTTTAAAATATGAAGTACTTCACAAATTAGACCTTCAAAAGAAAAAACTATTGAACGGCAGTGAACACTATCAAATATGGAGAACTTACTGCTCTATTCTACTTTTTGGAAATTAATTTATAACCAAGCTATTTCCTGAGATATCACTGGTGGGCCATCAGTATTTGCTCAGACTATAGAATCACTTCTGCATGAGCTGGATTGCAGGCAAAACCTCAACCCTTTCCCCTTTTCAGTTGCTTACTCCATATGTGTGCCCTCCACACAACCTGTTGATTAAGCATTCATCAATTTGTTTCTTGGGACAATGCTGGTTATTTAATGAGCATTATTTGTATTGGTTTATGGGGAGGTTAGATGATGATGTGTCAAAGCAGGTGTTATCTCACTTTCCAGTGTGTTTTCCTGTCGCTTTCCTTACAGCAAAAAGTTCAGTATTTCGAGGAAGATTTGCTGCCAAAAAACTGTGAAAACTGAATTTGTATGTGATATTATCTGATCTAAAGAGAGTGATAGTCTGGAAGTGATCCTCAGGCTCAGCAGCAGGAAATAGCTGAGGTACATCATACAGTGTAACATACACTGGGGATCAGAGGAGAGGCGTTTGAGATCAACTGAGCAGCCAGTCTCTTCGTTTCCAGTTCCTACTATATACAGATAGGAAAACAGAAAAAGGGAAAAGAAAAATAGGTGCAAAAGGGGGGGGGGGGAGAATGCAGCCCACTAGTACCATCTAGTGGTCATTATAAACATGTATCATAATTCCATTAAATATATATCTGAGAATGAGCTTTCTTTGAGGACCCTAACTCCTTCCATGCAAACAAGAGAAGAGAGGCAGTGACAGTTTTGAAAATTTGTCAGCCATCTACCACTTTTGTTTTGCCAATGTTCAATTTTAGACAGCAAGCTCCTCTGAGGAGCCTGTTGTCTTATACTAGGCAAAGCTCAATGCTCACTGATGATGACATCATCATCATTACCACCATCAATTTAAGATCACAGGAGCTAGAAATGGGGAAAGTGGACATATATACATAGTTTTATTTTTCACTTTTTGCTCATGAATGGTAAAATGGAAAACCTTTTCTTACATATTTATCGCCTCAAATAGTGTCTCAATCATTTCTATAGTTATACTTTCCTCTCCCGGCAACTCCTTGTTGGAAAAGGAACTCTGGGACCCACACTCAAGCAGATGCGCGAAAGGGGAAATGCCAGGGCCTCAAAATAGTGCGTGGTACTTCAACCACTATCCCCGTTTCCTGAAAAGCAGGGTGGGTGGGTGGGTGCTGTGAGAATAAACCTGCTTTGTTTCAAATCACTTTTTCATGTTGCTGTTTACACCAATGAGGTACGAGGACCTCTTCACCCAATGACCATTATGTAATTTGTGCCAGCACATCAAACTCTGCATGTGCTGTCATGTGTGCATGTGCAAGGGCTGCCTGAATGTAGTCACCTCAGGTAAACAGTGACTTCCTTTTCCTAATCAGATGGAAGCTTGTTTGAGGGAAAGAGCATCAAATGGGAATATTTGCTCGTTCCCTCCCTTTGCTGTAGGACAGAAGGTTGCAGCCGTTGATCACTCCCCCAGAGTCTTCCCTGGTTGGTTGTTTTTATTCCTCCCTCCCTCTCATTGCCTTAACTTCTCTTTTTTCTCTGAATTTTTTCAAACAACTGTCCTCGGAACTCTCTTAATTTCATCAGACAGAAACTCTTCAGTCCCTTAAAAAACAAAAAAAGGGGTTGTGTTCAAGGATCCCAAAGGCTTTCATTTCATAATTTACTATTAAGGCCCTCTGGAGGCATTTCTTTCCTTTTAACACATTTCCTTCATCCACCTTTCTCGAGCTAATCCTGAAAGCCAGTATGTGTTCTCAAGGTCAGCACTCAAGCAGTGCTAATAGATCACCATCACCAATATAAGTAATTGATATTAATAAGGCTTTCCAAGAAAAGAAGCAGAATAACTGCAGGTGGTATAAAACCAGGTTTGAGTGGACCTTTGTCTCTTCCTTCACCTGCAAGGCCATTAGGTTCTCCATCTGTTCTTTCCGGGCAAAAAAAAACTGGGTATATGTATTTTCAGGAGGATTTAAAAATTAATCCATTCACTTGTTTGGATGCAATGATAACACACTGGGCACACTTGTAATTTCCACTTTGAAAATATGGCACTTGAGAGGCACAAAAGCCTAAAATACTCCATATACTGCCTCTCCACCAGGAAGCAATTTTAAATTATTGCAGCTTGTCCAATTTGATAGAAGCACTTGAATCCAGAGGTGATGGTGATTGTGTGCACTCATCAGAGTGATTCAAAAAAGCAGAGTACTTCACATTTATATATGCTCTTCAGCTTAGAAGATATCAACTCTTCTAGTCCTCTACACGGCACACAGCAATTGTAAAGCACTGAAGTGTTTCTGATTTGAACACGCTGCTTAGCCTGCCAAATGGAAAAGTTCCAAACCTCGTAATCCTGCACTAGACTATGATTGTCTCACATGTGAAGATCCCTTTCCTTCCCCCCCCCCATTTGTACATTTATTTAAAAATATAGACTTGAAAAGAAATCACAGTGTAGAATGTTAAACACAAATCTGAACAAGCCCACAAAACTTCAATTTGCTTGCAAACAATCTTCAAACTGGAAAAATGGGTCAAGGCAAAGTATAAAATTGCTTACTATAAATAACACAACACTCAGCACTAAAAAATTTCTGGTCTTGTGCGAATTTTTTAGAAGAAAACATTCAAAGGGCTTGCAATTCAGTGTAAAGATCTACCTACTGATAAGAAAATCTCTCTTGCAAAATGGTTTTCCTCTTCATTACTCTTCAATTGCAGCCAGGAAGATATTTACACCTAACTGCAAGGCTAGAATGGTTGGTGATGTGACCGTAAGGACTTCTCAGTTGCCCTGTGTGTGCCTGAGTTCAATTATTTGAGTTATCAGAAGCAATCTGCTGTAGATCAAACTGCTGGTCAATTATGATTCAAATCAAATTATGATTCAAATCTTGAGTTTCTTCAGGTGCCTCTCTCTTCTATGATTCTACTAAATATTTCCAGGGCAGACTCCAGAACATGGCAACATGGGCATTTCCTGCAGTCCTCAATGCCCTCTCCAATCTTTGAAAGGAGAACCCAAGAACATCAGAAGCAGTTATTTGTGAATTCTCTGTTTGCACTCCCCATCTCTTTCAGGTGAATGACGACTTCAGAGGGCTTTCAGAGAGCCAGAAAGAGGCATTTGAGAATAGAACAGTACTGTACTGAAAATTGACTTGCTTTTCCCAGAACGTGGTTGCTATCTCCCATTGCTGCTGCTTGTGGACACTGGTCCATTATGATAAGGTACATACGGCTGGAAGCTAGGATTTCTTCCTACTACCACTTGCCCTGAGAAGACGCCATACAAAGGTTCACAGGATTCTTACATTAAAGATCAAAGATATACTGGAGAGCTAGCAAGAACTGAGAAACTGTCCATGGGGCACCTGTCCATCCTGCTGAGGGTATCTGCCATCGACACCATACAATATCATCTATATAAATACAATAATAATAATCTACTACAATGTCCTTTCGGACTCGGTATATGCGCTGAGAATTAGGAGTCCTGTGCTTTGTTCATTATTCTGTTCCTCCTCAGCAAACAGTTTCAGAAAGCAAGGCTGGAGGCTGCTATTTTGTCCCATGGCAATTGAGCACTGGACTGCCACAATACTCTGTTTGCTATTTAACACAAACATATCACAAGAGGAAGATTTTGGACTGAATGAGGCCAAAGAAACTCAAATTCAGTCCAGTCAGGAGATAGGAACTGTTGGTGGATGGTTTGATGAATGTATGAGGTGCTGTTCAACTTATTCTGGGCAGGGTTGCCTTCCCACTAAAGGAGCAAGTCCACAGTTTGTGATTGCTGTTCAATATAGCCTATAATTTGGATGTCAAGTGCATTCATGATATGAAACATCTTTTACCAGTAAAGGTTGGTATGCCAGCTGTGGCATATCCTGGAGAGAGAGTTTTGACACACTTATCCATTCCCTGGTAACATCAAGACTTGCCCTTTATACAGCACTAAGTTGTATGTCTCTGCATCTATGGTTACATTACGTTTTTCAGAGCCTATTTAGGATTATAAAATGTTACCTTCAGATCACTTCCAGGCAAGGTACCAATTCCGTCCTTCCAGTCCATTACACTAAATACATCAAAGTCTTGCCCACTTCCACTAGAAGTTGGTTCATTCATGGTGCATATACTGTAAAATAAATAAGATAGGCGATATGAAAATGATATCTCTGATCCAACATACCCTTAATTGTCTGTATGCCTACATAAACAGAAATATGAAATTGTGGTGGCTTTTTTCTTTTTCTTTTGTGAATGGGGTGGGTGGGTAGGTAGGGAAATAGCACACAAACCCCATTCTGAGGGGCAGTCTTTCTATTTGTGTCTTTGTACTTTATTATACTTTTTTAAAAAATTCTAACATTTTAATAAAAAATCGGATCCACTTCCGCAAAATGTTACGTTTGAACCACTTTCACACCATACATCACATGATTTTCAATCATCGTTTCACCTGCCCCACAATATTTATAACCTATTGTAAATAATGTCAAAATTCAAAGCTAATCAACACTTTTATTAAAACCAGCCCAAAATAACAAAATACCAAAATAGTTTCTGAGTTCACCAAAGGTCCTAATCAGGCTGGATATTAAGCAAGTTTTTGGGGGGGGGCAGGGGAGTGGATGGAAGAGAGAGGTACAGTAGAAAACTGGACTAGATGGTGATGCCGCAAAGTCTAAATTTAGCCAGAAATAAGAGGATGGAGGATAGGAAGAGATAGCAGATTTAATCGGATTAGGCTCTACTAGGTGCTGTGTAGGTTTCAGGTTGCACTAGGACTGCTGGGAAAATGAAAGAAATAATGGTTCCAATTTCTGAAAATATAAAATCCGGCAGTTGCCTGGATTTTAGCCTTAAGTGAAATACATCTGGCATAACACTTAAAATCTATATCTAACTTTGCTAATATCAAAACTCTCACATTTCTAGTTATCTGCATTCTCCACCTATGTGTTTTGCTTAAAGCTGGAAACAAATATGGATAACTACTGGGTTATATAGTTGACTGGAATTTAAAAGTCCTATGTAAAGCAGTTCATCCAAAAATGAGCCTCTTCTAGTTTTTTCTAATGCTGTTTCAGAGACTTTCCCAACCCTCAAGCAGCAAGAAAGCACCTATGATAAAGCCATGGTGCTACTTATAATAATAATAAGAATTTATTATTTGTTCCCCAGCCACTCTGGGCGGCTTCCAACAGAGAGTAACAATACTTGCCACTGTAATAATAATTTTAAGATGCTGTTGCTCGTGGACTTATAAAATAAGCACCACTAACAGAGTAGAACACATGGGAAATGTTGGGCATTAGAGAAGAATTATCCCAAACCCAACCTAGAGTTGTTCCTTCACATGAACTCTCCAGGTCATACTCGAGTGTTCCTTCACTTGAACAATCATAATGTAAAAGTCAGAAACTCCTGGTGACAACAATTTCCATGATTTTGGAGACTGGAAACTGTGCATCTAAATTGCAGAAGTTACAACAGCCAAGATCTGTAAACTCCCCACGCAAATAAACTCCCACCAAACAATGGGCCAGAAGGGACTCTTCCCACACTTCTAGTTGAAACTACATGAACTTTTTCCCTTTAGGGGAAAAATACTAGATCATGGTGGTGAAGCGGAGGCTAAAATCCTATGCATGCTTTCTGGGAAGTAAGTCCCAGTACAGTGGTACCTTGGGTTACATACGCTTCAGGTTACATACGCTTCAAGTTACAGACTCCGCTAACCCAGAAATAGTGCTTCAGGTTAAGAACTTTGCTTCAGGATGAGAACAGAAATCGTGCTCCGGCAGCACGGCAGCAGCAGGAGGCCCCATTAGCTAAAGTGGTGCTTCAGGTTAAGAACAGTTTCAGGTTAAGAATGGACCTCCAGAACAAATTAAGTACTTAACCCGAGGTACCACTGTAGATGCAATACGACTTGTTTCCAAGTTAAAATATAAAGATACAAAATCTATTTATCCTCAAAAACAGATGATACAGTCGAGAGGACTAAGTTCAATAGAACTAGGTCCTATTTAAACCTAAAGGTAAAAAAGGTAAGGGACCCCTGGACGGTTAAGTCCAGTCAAATTCAACTATGGGGTGCAGCGCTCATCTTGCTTTCAGGCTGAGGGAGGTGGTGTTTGTCTGCAGACAGCTTTCCGGGTCACGTGGCCAACATGAATAAACCACTTCTGGTGCAATGGAACACCGTAATGGAAGCAAGAGAGCACGGAAACACCATTTACCTTCCCACCGCAGCAGTACCTAATTATCTACTCACACTGATATGCTTTCGAACTGCTAGGTTGGTAGGGGCTGGGACGAAGCAACAGGAGCTCACCCCATCATGCAGATTCAAACTGCCAACCTTATGTTCAGCAAGCTCAAGAGGCTCAGTGGTTTAGACCCTATTTAAACCTATAGGCTGCTAACATGGTTCCACTGCTTTTGGTAGCTCTTACTCACTAATAACCTGAGCTAGACAAAAAAACAAAAAAACCTTTACGATCTGCAATCATGTCTCTCAAAACAGTTAAAAGCAGAAATACCTATTATCAACAGATGCAACTGGTCTTCAAATTTCATTCAATATAGTAGAAATGATGTAACCCTTATGGCCTTTTCTCTTGTTCTCAGGCTGTTTGCTTCTCTCTCTTTTTCTCCTCCCTTCCACATACACACTCACATTTATGTTAGTTTTTAGACTTTGTATGGCTGAAGGAAAGGGGCTATTCAGGACTACTTGTTCCTATGCTAAATAATCACCATCTTCAGCACTGCAGTACCACTTACCCAGCTTTTCTTTAGAAAGGCAGGAGAGAAACAACAACATAGCTAACCTGTTGCACCAAAGCTTTTACACTCCCCAAGTAGTTATCGCCACCACACAGCCCAAATATCTGTGATTAGAACTTGTAAGACTATCCCACAATGGCTAAAATGGCATAGAAAACACTTTGAAATGATTGCCTGGACAAGCTCTTATAGTTATGACTCATGATCAGTGTAGTAAGTCGATCTGAAAAATATCTAGCAGCTATTTGCTGAGGGGGGGGGAACTATTCTATCTTTATTTTTGCTTTTTTATATGCCCTAGAACTCTCAAATTCTGGGCCTAGGTTTTTCTGACAGACAAGGCAGAAGAATGAACCATCCTCTTTCACAATGAATATTAACTTTGATTAAGCATGTACCAAAGCTCAATACATATTGGATACACATCCAATCCCCAATTATGCTCTTTTATTCAACTGTATTTGCCGTTATAAAGTGCAGTACAGTATATTTTTCTGCCATATGCATTATATATAATTGACAATAATTTTAACATAAACTGAAAATTCCAGGCTTCCAAAACCAGATAAAATGCTTTAAGTATCTATAAGCAGGCAAAATAACCTCCATTGAAGCCTGCTTGCATAGTGAAGGAGGCAAATTCTGAAAAGAAGAACTTTAACTAAACAGCATTCTCTTATAGAAAACAGAATCTACCTCTGTTAATATCAGCTCAAACGGTACCTTTCAATATGTGAGTTTATAATGAAGATAACAAATTCTAGAAACACAGCCAGATACAGTGGTACCTCAGGTTACATACGCTTCAGGTTACATACGCTTCAGGTTACAGACTCTGCTAACCCAGAAATAGTGCTTCAGGTTAAGAACTTTGCTTCAGGTTGAGAACAGAAATCGAGCGACGGCGACACGGCGGCAGCAGGAGGCCCCATTAGCTAAAGTGGTGCTTCAGGTTAAGAACAGTTTCAGGTTAAGAATGGACCTCCAGAACAAATTAAGTACTTAACCCGAGGTACCACTGTATTATTAGACTTCCACGTCAAAAGGCCCGCAATCTGCATATCCAATTTAAAAATCAAAATGTTTCCCTGGGAAAGGAGAGGAGCAAGGGGGAAACCGCTCAAACCCATGCTTGAAAACTGCAGGTCAAGCAGAAAGCCACTCAGATCCGTACTCTCTAGGCATGAGACAAATAGTTGTGTGGATGAGTCCCAAAAGCAATTACGACTCTCTTCTTACAGTATCTGGTGGCCTCTTCTACACCAATGGCTACTCTTTTGTTAAAACAAAAATCAGAGCTAAGCAATAAGAACCAACAAAAGTGTCAGAAAATAGCGAGCAGACTCTTGTGCTCCCCAGAAGTCTTGTTCAGGCTGGATGTTAAGTGATGTCATTTGCTAATTAATGCAGGTTAATGTAGACATCATCAAAAGCTGTTTGTGCTCATTTCACTGCAATCTTTTAACAGTTTGTATTGCTTATTTTTAATTTTTTTAAGCCACCTGAAATTTCGGGAGAAGTAATAACTTTCCCTTTTCACAGCACGTAACCTGAAAACAGTTGAACCATATACATTCTTATCTGAAAGTAACAGACAGGGCTCTACTTCTCCCTGCATCAATTTCTAATATATGGTTATTTAAATGTGTTAGAGGTAGAATGAAGGATACTTGGTGCAGACAAAGCACATGACAGCTGATCCTTTTTTAAAAAATTAACCCATTGTCACAGAAATAATTGCCTTTACGTGTATCTTCTCTTGGAGCCCATTATATTCGACACACAAAAAAACCACCCTCATTTTTAAATGGACTTGAATACAGAAAAGATTAAAGAACTTGGAGATTCAGAACTAAACATTCTTCTGCAAAGGTAGTAAGACTAACTAATGAAAGAAGTATCTATAAATAGCAAATATCATAAAAAATATAAAAAGACTGTAGAAACTAGAGATTTAACTGTACGCTGCAGCTGCAATCTTAGACTCAGATGTGTGTGCTGGGCCCAGTATACATGTAAGACCGCATCTGCACAGTGAGTTTGCAATAAACTGTTATTAAGCCTTAGATGACACACCAGTTAGGAAGCTAGATAAGAACTTTATTGTTTCTGTTAAACAATAACAAAACAGCAACTTGTGGATCCTGATTCCACTACTATACCACGTGCCACCTAGTGACTAAACTATATCCACATTAAAGCCAGAGCCTTTCTTAACATACCATATTTCCCCGTGTAAATGGGGGAAGATGGTCCAGAGTCGTTGAGCTTTTTGGGGGAGGATTGTCAAAGTTGTTGAACAACCACCAATCAGTCACGAAATTGGTGCACCAGCAGCCAATCCTCAGCAGCCCTTGCAGCAGCCGCCTTCAACCACCCAATTGTCACTGACAAGCTCCTGCTCGCAGCTGCAACCAATCGCCCGTCCCGCATATGCACTATCCTTGTATAACATGCCCCCCCCCCCCATTTATAACCTTATTTTGGAGTAAAAAGACCTTTTCTTATACATGGAAAAGTACGGTAATTTCCCCAAAAAATTCACTTTAAAGTATTCTATGTTTAGCAATAGCGGGAAGGTAAACGGCGTAGCGGGAAGGTAAACGGCGTTTCCGTGTGCTGCGCTGGCTCGCCAGATGCAGCTTTGTCACGCTGGCCACGTGACCCGGAAGTGTCTCCGGACAGCGCTGGCCCCTGGCCTCTTGAGTGAGATGGGCGCACAACCCTAGAGTCTGTCAAGACTGGCCCATACGGGCAGGGGTACCTTTACCTTACCTTTATGTTTAGCAATACAGTGGTACCTCTGGTTAAGAACTTAATTCATTCTGGAGGTCCGTTCTTAACCTGAAACTGTTATTAACCTGAGGTACCACTTTAGCTAATGGGGCCTCCCGGTGCCGCCGCGCCACCGGAGCATGATTTCTGTTCTCAGCCTGAAGCAAAGTTCTTAACCTGAGGTACTATTTCTGGGTTAGCGGACTCTGTAACCTGAAGCATATGTAACCTGAAGTATCACTGTACCTTAAAGAAATACAATAATAAAATCTCATAAAAGTATAAGAAGACAAATTGCAAACATATTCAAAATGCTGGTTGAACACAAATCAGCAACAATCACAAGTCTGACTGGGGAGGAAAGGTTTTCAGTATTTGCTGAAATATCCATTAAAACTCAGCAGAAAATTACTTTCAAGTAAGTCTGAAAATGTCATAGCTCAGTTTAAGAGCAGTTGCTTTGTATGCATAAGGTCCAAGTTCAATTGCTGGCATCCCTAAATAGAGCTAGGGTATTACCCCATCCTGAAACACTGGAAAACCCCTGCCGATCTGTGTGGGCAATACTGAGCTAAATGGACCAACGGTCTATCTCAATACAAGGTAGCATCCTATGCAGAGAGTCCTGCTGCGCATGTATCCAATTGTTTTGAGCATGCATAGCCAACAAGGAGAGGTAGCTGTTTCAACTAAGGAAAATGCAGGTTGCCCCACTTTATTTTGGTGCTGTTCTGGCCTTAACACTTACAAAACTCCCAACCCCATCCCTACCATGGATGTCATTCTTTTTTCACAGTGCCCACATGCCTCAGGCTTACATTAACTAAGCAAGATGCTGCCCTAGGATGTGCAAGGAAGTCTTCCTTCAAGGTCCCTTTAATTTCCACCTTTTGGTAAAGCCAAAATACCCCTGGAGCAAAGAAAGGGGAGGGGGAGAAGGGGAGATTCACTCATGCAATAACTAAATCAGAAGTAGATTTATATAGAAACATATTTTTATAATGCTTACAATTGTGACAGAAAATGTTTTCCACTCTGAGGAAAAAGTTGAACATAGATTTCTACTGTAGTAACGCTGCTGCAAATAGTTTTTCAGTGCAGGCCAACTTAACATGCAAACAACTTCAACTCAGCATTGAAAACACAGGAAACTAGACAGTCCCTCAAACGATGGCTAGAAGCCCTCAAGGAGTTACTTCAGCTAGGTAGTGTGTCACTGCAACCTTGTAATAGTTAACTTTATACCAAGCTTTATCAAGACTGAAACAATATATTGGGGGGGGGGGTTGTCAATGGAAGTTTTAACAATTCTTTGCCACTGGATCGCGATGAGTTTCTGCACTCGGCATTCAGTTCCAGCCTGTTCTTTCTTCCTGCCAAATCCAATGGAGTACCCAATGGAAAGCACTTACATTTTTGTATAATTTTAACAAGATTGTTTTGTTTTGAAACATCTCATTTCCTGAATTATTGCACTGCTCCCAGACTTCCTCTTCAGCTGATTACCTTGTTCCTGAAGGATTAAATGAGAAAGTGTATTGCTTATGCTTTCCCTGTTCATTAATCACTATATTTTGTACTCTCTCTATTCTAACAACCTGTCTTCATAATTTCAAACAGGTGAAGTGTTAATGGAAATAAACTCATACTATCAGTCAGAAAACTTGTTTTGTCAACATACATCAGGAGAAGCCTGCCCAATTAAACTCAGTAACAGCTTAAGTACCAGACCCTTACAGCATAATAAACACCAAACTGTACTCAAACAATTCCCTTTTCCGAAAAATGATCGGAATGTCAAATGTACAGTTATAAAAGTGATTAAATAAAGCTGACTTCAAAATGACAGCTGTGCTATAAACACCAACTAAGTACAGCTCTAAACTTCCCAAGAGATATGTCACAAGAGGTGAAAAAGCTATATTAATGTCATTTGTTTGATTCATTTAACAGTATACTGCAGAAAGGAAGTGAAGATACAATCATGCAGTCCCCTACCAGGAAAAACCAATACTTCCAGCACCACCAAAGGCTAAAATGAACTAGGATGTATCCAGTAGAAGACAAGGGAAAGAGAACCCCACTATATCTACTATATGGGGTATTTATTTTTTTAAGAGACAATGTCACAGAGTTGAGGTGGCAAACTCACTTTTATCACTATCCAGGTATGCAGACAAACTGAAACAAGATACTCCACCTTGAATTTGGCTACACAAACATTAACAGCATATGAAGCATGCACACCTTTCCATATACATTTCTCTTTCCCCCAACCCCTCAAAATATTTACAGAAGCAGAGATCCTACTCCTTATGCAATCACAAACAAAATTTTGACTAAAATAGTTAGCTCAGAAAAACAAAGATGGACTTAGGAGGTGAGTCAAGGAAACAGGTATTTTTATCAAAATTGGCCAGCATGCTGTACATGAGGAAAGTGTTCAAAGACCTTCCTTGTCTGCCACTCATACATACTGTTGGGGTGGGAAGTTCCAAAACTTTAGGGGTACCTGGATGTGTGGCTCTTCTTTGCCATAAAAATATGTGAATCTTATTTAAAGCTATGAACTTAGCCTTAGGTTAGTCTAGGAGCAAGTGCAAGCTTGTGGTTTGTTTTCTACAAGCCATCCAACGTGTGAGGGAGGCTTCCCAACTTTCCATATCCACACATCTGAAACATACCCCTGTATATTCTAGCCTCCTAAATGAATTTTAAGACTATCATTTCTGCAGGCCCTTAAATGGTATGCTTCTAGCAACCAACAATTCCTCCATCAGAAGAAACTTGAATAAAGTATAGCAGATGCCTGCAAAGAAAATCCTACAGTTATCATAAAACTATTCATTGAAAAAACCTCATTTTTATTTAATTACAGCCAAAGGTGATCTGAAGTTGTCCTGTATCAACAGAAATGCACTAGACAGGAAAGTGAAACTGACTGATCTAACACTTTTAGGAAACCGATGTGAAAAGAGGGGGGAGAAATGAATACACTCATCTTCACAACTATCAGATGTGTTTATTATGTTCGGTGTTGAGTATTCAAAATGAAAGAGTTTAGTCTCATAACAATCCTTAGAAACATTCTTCATTATATATCTACATTTCATATAGATCAGAAAACACTGTAATAACAGAAATGGAATGGAAGTGGGAAGCAGCAAAAAAACCGTATCTTCAAACCATTCCTTTGGAATATACCTCACCAGTCCTGAACTCTGAAGTGCAATCACGGCAAAACTTGGAGGCCAGAATTTGAACTTTCATCCCCAGGGTGGATACCTCCGTTCCACCAGTAGGGGTCCCTCCTTGGCCAGTTTTGGAATAGCGTATTTTGCTGCACTTGAAACTTTTCTGGAGAACACTGTGATCACTCAGGATACTACATATTCTCTCTCCCCCCCCGCCCTAAAATTAAGAAGAGCGGCGGAAGGGGTAGAAGAGAGGCGCAGGTCCTTCACATGCAACTTCCCGGCGCAACGAAGCCACTGCAACAAAAACTACCAAATTCAAACTACGCTTCAGGCTACAAAACAGGGTCGTCGTCCCCCCCCCCCCAGCCCCCTGCCCAGGTTCTCCGTTCGCCTCCTTTGGTAAAAGAGCAGAAAGTACCGCGAGCCAGCTTTCCGAGGGGGCTCCTGAAATAACCTCGACGCCTCCACTTTCTCTGAAAGGAAATGCCCAAGGGGAGGGCGGCGAGGCCGTTGCACGGCGAGCAAAAGGTGTATAAGCGTGTGGGAAGGAAAAGAGAGAAAGAGAAAAAGAGAGAGACCGGCTGCCCCGCCGGCTGAGGAAGTTGCATAATAAGAGAAAGGCACTGCTCTTGTTTGTTAATCGGGTCCCGTTTTTTTCTTGCGGAGCCTGCGACGGAAACCGGGAAGGGGAGGTTGCCTGAAACAAACTCGAGGCATTTTTGCTTTTTACCCTTCTCTTCCCGCACTCCCCACTTTCAGGAAGGGCCGGGACTGTTCTCTCTTCCGAGGGGAGAAGAAACGGTTCTGGGTTCTGTGGATTAGTTCTCTTTCCCGAGCTCGTAAGAGAGAAATCACCCTCCTTGAGGAGAAGGCGTCTCCTTTCTCTCTCTGCTTCTGGTCTCCTCAGCCCGGCCCCCTTTCACCCACCCTTAGCCAGGCGCTTCTGAGAAGGTCCCCTTTGGAGTTGGCTCGGCCCTTTCAAAGTTTTCTCCTCACCCACTTCCTCCTTCTGCTGTGCGCGTGTGAGAATAAAAGGGGAGGGGGCTCCGGGAGAACACCCCCACCCACCCACCCACGCACCTCCTGCTGTCTTCCACAGCAACATACCACGGAGCAGGCTTGAGTCCCCCGCCCCCCCACACTTACGAACCCTCAGTTATGGGGAGCTCGGGCCGAGCGCCTTCCCATCTCCCCCACGAAGAGCTTGGAACAAGTGTGTCAGTTTGCAGCTCATCATGGGTAAAGGGCTACTACAGGAAGCGGGGAATATAGAGGCAAGCGGGTGGCGTTGTTGCAGAGTATTAGGAACCCGGGTGTGCTGCTAGCTTGGCGTAATTCACACGAGCCACGTTCATGTGATGCAAACACACCTCTCCCACCCTCTCTCACACACGCGCGCGCAAGAGAGAGAAAAAATCCCCGCATCTCCCACGGGGGTTTATTTGCTGCCCCCAATCCCTACCTATGTTTACACTGAAGTGAGAAGACATGCACGGGGAGCAAGAGTTCCCCCCACCCCTTCCACACACGCTCCCTCCCACTCCTAACTGCGAGGAGCGTCTCTGCTGCGCGTGTGGTGTGTGCGTGCGTGTGCAAAGTTTGCCCAAAATGGCGGAATTGGGGAGCTCAGTATTATATTTCTATATATCGGCACACACATGCACACGCCGCCGCCGCGCGCGCGCTCGCGCCCGCCACAAAGTCCAGAAGCTGCAAAGGGGAGACAAGAAGGAGGAGAAACAGTATTAATAATAATAATAAAAATAATCCTTTGACGAAAAAGAAGGGGGGGAACACACCCTCAGAAGCTGCCCGTGCGCGCTGATCCAAGCAGGCCTCCCCCCTCCCCCCGCTTCCCTTCTCCAGGAGGGGAGACACGACACACGTTACACATGCAACCGGTATATCCCGCTGCAGCCAAATCTGGGTGGGAAAAGTCCGTCCCTCCTCCTCCCCGCGCGCTTCCAGCCTCCATCCCTCCCTCGGCTGAGGGAACCCCGTAAACAAAAACGGAGCGAGCGAGCGGCTGCGGCGGCCCCTCCGCAACCCGCACCCCTCTCTCCCCCAAATCCCTGTCGCGGCGGCGGCGGCGGCCGTCCCCCTTCCCTAGACACTCCCGGGGAAGTGTCAAAAAACCCGGGCCGGCTCCCCAGTGGCGGGGCGGCAGGACGCCGCAGAACCGCCGCCGCCGCCCCCCCCTCCCTCCCCGCCGGTCTCCGCCCGCCAAGACGTGCGGGGCTGAGAAATGCCCTCTTCATTTCCACGGCCGCTCCAGCCTCCACCTCCTCCCTTTTCTCCCCACAATTTACCCGTCATATGTTGGGGAAGAAGCGAGCGGGGTGGGGGGCGCGGACGCCGAAGGCACCTCTCTCTCGCTCTCCCTCGCCCACTCTTTTGTTCCTCTTTCACTCTCACGCACTTAGGGGCTTTTTTAGGGAAGGAACCCCCCGTGGCCGACCCACACTCCCCGGCCACTTCGCAGGCGCCGGGCCACTTTCCCCCACCACCTCGGGTCCCATCCCCTGGGCGAGAGGCTGTGCTGGAACTCTTCCCTCTGCGTGCGCGCCCGCCCCCCCCCCCGCACCTTTATGGAGAAAATTCTCTTCTATTTCTCTCCCCCCCCCCCGCGCGCTCCTCCTCCCGGTTCATAAGGGAGGCAGAGGAGGTGCGCTTGCTTCCCTTTATCTCTCTCTCTCTCTCTCTCTCTCTTAACTTTCATCCCCAGCCAAAGGGAGGCAATGGAAAGGCAACCCCTCGGCGTTGTGCATTGCAGTTAATGGGTTAGCAATCAGGTCGGAACCAGGCGCTTCCTTACCCCCCCAAATTCTCTCTCTCTCTCTCTTTATTTTTTTTTCTCCGTCTCTCGAGGAGTCCTGACAAATATGGTCCAGGGCTGCGGGCACAAGTGAGCATGCGCCCGTAGAGTCAGGGCCGGGGAAAGGGGAAACTGCTGCTGCTGCTGCCGCCGCCGCCGCCGCCGCCGGGGTGCCTGCTCTTCCTTCGCTGCTGTGCCTCAGCCTCTGGAAAAGGTAGCAGCGAGGATCGCGTCTGCCGCCGCCGCCCCCATCTCTCCCCCTTTCTCCTCCGAACCACAAAAGAAGCATCTCCGAGGTGCATCGGTATCTCCTCGCTCACACATCGTAATGGCAACGTGAAGGGGAAGAAGGAGCAGCTGAAGTCTCTCCCTATTTTTAGGCTTCTTTCTTTCTCTTTCTTTCTAATTACTTTTCATTCCAGAAGTAGCAGAATCAGTTATTAATTATGGTGCTTGGCATCAAGGAAAATTAAAGCAGGACAGTCTGTCCATATTAGGAGTTTGGGAGGGGGGAACTAAAACATAGCCCCAAGGGTGGTATTTTTTAAAAGGTGAATTTTCTGCAAATAAATATAAACTGTATTTTAAAGCATATGCCAAAAAGATTCCAGAAGGATTTTTTTTTTTGCACTTCCCATATCTCTAGTGTGAAGTTAAACTGCATTTTCTACAATGTATGCTCATTTTTTAAAATAGCTTTCTTCTGTGTTATATACCCCATGTTAACCCTCTGTCGACAGGTGGGGTCAATGGCATGGAGAAAAAAATAACAAAACTTGGTGTCAGTCTTCCGGAACTCTTATGTTCTCTAGGGTAGTCTCCATCCACTTATTTGTTCTTTATTTATTTATTGCACTGCACATACAGGTTCAAGGTTTTCATATTAATTTACAAAGTTGGGTCCAAGATACTTTAAGCACTACCTGGTTCCTTATATCCCTTATATCATGGTGGTTTTTGGAGGAGTCAATATTAATGGATGCACAGCCATATCCAGCAGAAGTTGTGCATTCTGTATTGTGAACCCAATTTCGAAGAACTCTCTTCTATCTGAGATCAGACAGGTCCCCTCCCTGCTGAACTACCAGGACTGACTGAAGACTTAAAAAAAAAAAAAGCAGGCATTCAAAGCATTTCTTAATTTACTGTTTTTTGTTGATTTTTTATCTATATTATATTTGTTGAGTTCACTGTACACCACTTAGAGACAACTGTAATGAAGTGGTATATACATTGTCAAAATAAATAAGTAAATTTAATAACCAGCCCTTCAATCTGAAGAATCCCAGGGCAGCATATCACATTACATTAAGATATAGTGCTGCGTATCAACATAACATAAAGGCAATACCTGTCATAAAAACAACTAAGCTGCCACAAAAAGACAATTTATTAGCTCAGCCAGTCCCAATGGCCTGAAGGAAAATATACGTCTCTACACAGTGTTGAAAAGCTGGTAATATGGGAGTCAGCTGTATCTCCAATGAGAGGAAGTCCCACAAGCAGGAAGCCATAAGGCCCAGCTCTGTAAGGCCTCACTCTGTGTTGTCACACAATGAATCATGGATGCTGAGATGCCTACAGGCAGGATTCTTCTGCAGATTTGAAGGCCCAGGCTGGCAGATGAGCTGCTCTGGACCAGTGGCCAGACACTCTATGCATACACTTCCAAACACCTGATCAAACAGTGGCCAGTGGAGTTTTTTCTAATATACAGTGGTACCTCGGGTTACATACGCTTCAGGTTACAGACTCCGCTAACCCAGAAATAGTGCTTCAGGTTAAGAACTTTGCTTCAGGATAAGAACAGAAATCGGGCGGCGGCGCAGCGGCAGCAGGAGGCCCCGTTAGTTAAAGTGGTGCTTCAGGTTAACAACAGTTTCAGGTTAAGAACAGACCTCCGGAACGAATTAAGTACTTAACCAGAGGTACCACTGTATTGTCTGAAAGCTGAACAACCCACGGTGGCATGAACATCACAAGTTGTTCTTGTTTAGTAGACCTAGAGTTTATGAAACCATGGGTTGAGCTTTCCCTGGACTTTCAAGAAATACAGCCTTGGAACTGGTCAGGCCTGCCACTCCTGACAGCAAGAAAAGGAGGAGGTGTGGTCTCTGCAGTTGACACAATTGCAGAAGATCACAGCAATGAGGTGCTTCATGTAACTGTT